ATTTTCTGTTAATATAGCATGTATAATAAATTAATAATGTGAAGAATAAGAATTTCTCATTCTTCATTTCACTTTTCAGTAGTGACTTATTCCGCTCAGAATATACTGAACAGGCTTCAAACGATAACTCTGTCACCGTTGGCGCAGGGCCAAATTTGATAAAACTGGTCAAATAGACTTAAAACCGGCCCTGTCAACCCCAATGCCCAAGCTTTTTTTTGATAAGCTTTGTTTCTGAGCCTGATTGTGGTGACACAATGTCTGGTTCAGGATAATAACAAAATGCATGTTCTGGAAGAAAAAGTTTGAGGAGAGGATATCTTCAATATTATTTTCAGCCAACTAAAAGGACGGAATCTGAAATCTGAGACAACCTTGAAAAGTAGTTTATTGAGCCGACCAGAGCGCTTTTAATGAAGGCCATCGACCAATGTAATCACTATTCGTCACGTCAGCATAGGAGCAAGTTGGGAAAAGAGGACATCGGATTCTCAGATACTCTGTAGCATGCAAAAAAAAAAAAAAAATAAAAAAAATCGAGACAACACACTAGCACTTAAAAACAGATATCTTTTAAGATGTTTATCTCAAACAAACACCTAATCAGGCTAGGTTTTCCTTAATAATCTGAAAAAATTCACTCTCTTCAATTATAATACTACAAGGTAGTTCATTTTGAAAGTATTCCCCAAACGACAATCATACATTTTCCTTTCAATAAACAGACGCTCCAGCTACCGAGTTGACCACTCAACCACCGAATGGCTTAGCAAAATTTGATAATACCGTTTTCAACTTTGCTTATACTTTACACTATCTACCGAGGATTTTTATAATTATAGCCACTACGTCCCCACTTTCTTATGAAAGTTTTCTTGACCTAACTTAATATCTTTATGCTTTCAAAATATTATTTTGAGCAACGCTCCTAGGCTATTCTTACTTTTCACATAAATTATTGTAAATAAACAATTTTTGTCTTCCAATTTCACACTAAGTAAAAGCCCTTTTTTATTGTACGTTTAAAGAAATCATATATATATATTTTTGCATATGGAAAAAACGCCAAAGTTATCATTTTTATCGATCAGTTGTGGGTTTTTAAGGCATATCAGTAGACCAAAATGGTGGAAAATTAAAATTTGACTGATTTTCTCTTTGATGCTTTTTAGTTTTTCATAACATCAGTAAAACGTATCTTTTGAATTTTCAACAAAATCGTATTGTATCGTCCGATTGAATTTAGCCTGCATCTTTAAAAATTCATTTCACCCCAAGCAAGGAAATAAAACCACGAGGACGAAAGCTTACTGAGTGTTAGAGAATATAAAAAAAAAACTATTAAAGGGAGAGAGGACAATAAAATAATAAGAATTAAGTAGATAACGATTGACATTGCTTTTAAATGTTTGAAGATCAAAGTTCACTGGAAGCAAGAAGCCGGAAGAAAGTTCCACAAGCGAGAAGTGCAATAGAATAGAACTTACAGTTACATCTATCCATTTCAACTGTAAAACGATAAGACCTTGCCATCAATCTAGTACTTAAATTCATAAAGTCTAAGTACCATAGAGGAAAGTTCATCATAACAATTACCATGAAAGTATTTATAATTCCTATATAGAAAAGACACAGGGAAGGTATGTTACGGCGGTGGAAATAGGATTGAAGCCGAGATGTCAGTTCAGGACAAATAACATTGCAGATACTTTTTGGGTTTTAGTAAGAATCTCTAAATATATAGCATGAACACCAGACCATATGTAGCAGCAACATTCAAAGCAAGGACGAACGGTAGACTTATAAATATGCAAGATAGATTCTGGTGAAAAAAATGATCTAGTACGACGTATTGAGCCAACTTTCTTAGCTGCAGACTTAGCAATTAATTCAATATACTCTTTCCACTTTATGTCAGCTGAAAACTTTAGTCTGAGAAGGCACAATGAGTCACTCACCTGGAGGTTAGCATCAGCCATGCTGATAGAAGGTAAAAAGGGTTAATTTTTTTTTACAGAAAACAAAATTATAGTCAATGGACGGGCTTTTCACATTTCTTGAATTTTTCTTCTACTTATTCAAGCACTCACATTTTTCCGACCACAATTTTGAAAAAATCCCAAGAGCACATAGACCAGAAAATATAGTGACTAATCAATTAATGAATGACGAACAGGTAATGTCGGAGCACTGGATATTTTATTTACCCGATCTCCCCACTAAGGTAGGATGTGACACAAGGTATGTTATGTGGGGGGGGGGCATACATATGGGCTAAGGACAAAAACTGACTAGTCCCCGCCACCACAGTTACACTGACGTCGATACAACACCGATCCCACCTCTCTTAATGCTATGAATGAGGTGCGCCGCACAGTTGGAATCCCCAAGACCAGGCACCTTCACTTATCTAAAATGAGAAGAACAGATATTACGCTTTAATCCAGGTTCTAAGGCAGAGAGAAAAAAAAACAACAACAACAAAACAAAAACGGATAAAGCGATTTACTACGCGTAGCGTAGATGTGGTAAAAAAAGCCGCAAGAATGAGGCAATTCGTAAAGATTTCCTTTTGTGCGTCTTAATACGAACAAGGCAAGGTAACATAATAAATGATAGAAATTATTGGCTTCAAAACAAGAATTATAATACAATTCTTCTGGTTATGAAAATAAGCTTGAGAACAAGATACGAAAGCTGTTGGAAAAAGGAAGAAATTACTCTTTAGAAAAAAGGTGCACCTGCCTAAACAGAGAGACGAAAGAACCTACTTTGGCTTATCCCACGATCATCTCTAGGATCTTTAACAATATTTTGAAATATATTTCGGCTTTCTTCATGCTTTCTTTCTTCTTCCTTTTCGCTGCTGACTGTAGTGAGATCGGTTTTTAAGTTTTTCTTTGTTTTACTTTTTTGTCGTCGTAGTCCTTGAGAATGCTGAAACCTTTTCGCCTTTCGCTCTCCTAGCGGTAGCGAATTTCACATGTGAATGAAATCCTCCTCCCGCCCCCGCTCCCTTCAACCTGTCGGCTTTCTTCTCATCTGACGTCTTAGTTCCTTCTGCCGTTCTCCGCTGACCCGCGTTCTTTCGGGAGTGGCTCAAACGAACCAACTTTAAATATACATGGGTGGAAGCCACCCCTTTTGATTGGACAAAAATCTCAAGGGCAACATATTTTTTAAATTCGAAAAATGAATCACCAACAGTATGCCATGACAGTTATTTCTGGTGGTTCTTTTTAGAGCCAATTCTAAACAAAGGAACTTTTAAACACAAATGTAACAATTTTCACAAACGTTTTCGCTGTTTTCAAATACACTTATCCCAAAAGTACGTGTATAAATCAAACTTAGACTATTTAATATTTATTTACTTACACTGTATTGAGTACGAAATAATAATAAGTCCCTTCATCCACTCCCTTCAAATTCGGAGATCTGAAGGAGATGGAAAGGAATTCGCGAGCCTATGTGAAATTTTCTTTGGACCAATGAAAACCTTGCCTTACAGAAATTGACTGGTGAACTGAGAAGAAGGAAAGAAAAGTAACGAGCCTATGCGAAATTCTTTTTTTTATATATAAAAATGAGGAGAAAAATGCAATCAATAAAAGAAGAATGCTCGAAGTCATAAAAGGTTTCGTTTCTGTTTATTGTGTTAAGCGGTGTAAAATTATTTGCCAATTATATTATCGGCCTCTAACCAAGTACGTAGCACTTCAAAGATTTTTCTTTCAACAACCCGAGAAAAACTATCTCTCTTCGTCTACTTTTAAACATATGGAACTGTATATTCCTTCTGTGAGCAACGAACTCTTTAAACATTATTGAAAATTTATTTTGTGTCACATCAATGAATCCGTTGTAACAATACGTTTACAAAAGCAAAAAAAAAAAAAAAACTCTGGACTTTAAGAATTTTGATTTATTTTCCTGAAACGAGCTACTGACGCTGCTAAATTCCTTATCTTGTTTTCTTAAAATTACCCGTGTGTTTTAGTTTTCTCATCATTATCATCCTTCATTATCTTTTTGGCGTGGGTAAATCGACTGTTCATTTTTAAACCCCAAGACACCACGTCACTACTTTTTAGTTTTTAAATTATTATTTTGAATTATTTTAAATGTTTTTTTTGTTTTGTTTTTTTTTTTTATAAAAAGAAGCGATTGCCAAGATTATCACTATGTATTATAATTTCTCACACATAAACACCGATTTTTTTGGCTTCATCTCTAATTTAGTGTTTTCCTCCGACGTTCATATTCAATACGACACTAAAATTCGGTTTTGTCAACTTTTCCTCTGACATATTTTCCCCTCATTTACCCATTCCACAGACCATAATTAATAATCACTGATCACTTACAGCATTCATCACAAGCAGTTGAAGTCACTTTTTAAATTTAGAGTGCTGTGTATGCTTAACTAAATTAAGCTTCACCATTGGCATTAACTTTCTTTATGATTAAAAAAATAAAGACGTAGAAGCTAACTTTTTCACGAATTTCGTTTCTCAGACATTTTCTGGGACCGGAAATATAAATTAACCTAGATCTTCTTGTACAATTGGTTATTTTTCCAACTTGTATATTCCCCATATTTGCACTAAGAATGGGAGAATCAGTCTCTAAATCCATGATACCCGAATGGTCTCAAAAGGAAGAACTACCGAGGAAACAGGACAATTTTTGTTAAAATGGGAATCTCCCGCATGTATGGAATGGCCCATCCTATGCATCTGTGAGGTTCCGCCTTGTGCTATTTTCCCTTCTAGTGGAAAAAAATTGAATAAATACTAAACTTTTTTTTTAATGAATTTATTTTTACTCTGACGTTAATTTTGTAAATTCGTTCTTTTACGATCGATTTCCATCGGTTGCTTTTTCTGAAGGAACAAACTTTTGTCAACACCGCTTCATTTAAACTTCCGTCATTTTATCACATGGAGTATCATTGATGTTGGACCATCGCACACTAAATCGCTGGACCGGCACCAAAAATGGTTAAAGAACAGTTTCGTGAGGCCGACGTGGCTAAAAAGATGTAAGTTTATTATTTTGGTTCGTAATTATATTCTAATTCACTACCAACTTAAAAAAATTCTCTTTACGTTGAGTATGTAAAATTCACTGAATGTTTCATGCAGTGTTCGATTGTAAACAAATAGTTGGGTTTTTAATGGATAAATTTTATCCTTTAAACTTTTTAAATTTAAAATAAGAAGGCTATATACATATATCTGTAATGATTTAATATGATTCTTCCTTAATTATTTTGAAAATATCTTTATGAAAGAGCCTCATGTGTTGACTATTTTCATAGAATCTAAAAATTTTAGATTTTTTAGTAACTTTCAAAAAATGCGTCTTTTTGTTAAAAATATTTGTGTTTTAGTTATATGTACTGGTGTTGACGTTGAAATTTTTGTAAATATTTAAAAATTTCTATTAATGATTACAATTTTACTCGCACAAGAAGTATGATTCCTTCTACACTACAGAGTTATTAATTAGCTACTTACGAGAGCGCTGCCTGAAAGATTTGCAAAAAATAAATAATAGATAACAATTCAAAGCTATGTTACTGTGGCGTTACATTTATTTATTTTAGATGAATTCATGTGGTGACTGTCTGGTCATACACACATTGTTGTAATGTTGCATATTTCTCACAATGGAATGTTATATCTTGAATTTATCTAACAATTACTGTTTGGAATTCACTTTTTCTTAATGAAATGCCTTAAAATATTTTAAAATAATAATTCAACTGTTCACAGTCATTGAAATATGAGATGCTAAAATAAAAGTTATATAACTATTAAAAAAGTCTTCAGAAGTTTCATTATTTGTACCTGTTTTAAGGTATAACAAAAAAAAAATCCAAGACCAGTCATTTATTTCTCATTTCGACACTTTTAGTCAAGAAGTAAAGGGAAACTTCTCTCACATGGTAAGTTATAAAAATAAGCCTTATGGTGTGTGCAAAATTTCCCAGTACCTCCTATTTGAAAACTAGACAAAAAATAAAAAGGTCTTTATCTTGATACAGTTTTTTTTTTAAATATTATTTTTGTGCAAGCATACTTTGAATACCAGCAGCTTTACTCACTCAGCAAAACTATTTTTCGTCTGATATCTATCTTAAATGCCATGTCACTTCAGGACGTAACGAGCATGGCTCTCCACAGATTCATTTTTTTATTATCTGTATTTTACTATAGGATAGTGATTTTCTGTTGCCTTCTCCATGGTTTTAAATTCAAAATTGTTTTCCTAGACTGGTTACTACCCAAGGTTCAGTCTGTCCTGCTAAGTTATTAATAACTCATGGTGTGCAAGTATTGTGTTGTTATAGTTAATAACTGTTATACTCCATCACAATTAGATCTCATTCTGATTCATTCTGCACGCTAGCCAGATGTGACTGCCACGAAGGCAGAAGTTGAAATAATAAGTCATAATCTGCACATTAGACTCCATGCACCATGTCCAGTCTACAAAGTGAACTCCAGTGGTGGCCAATCACGAACATTCCTGCTGATAAAAGAGACAGCCCTTGGGACTACCAGACCTGCTTAAAAGCAGGCTATGAGGACAACCAGACACATTTGACACACTATGACAACAGAGTTGTGGACCAGCCACCACATAAAGCACTACTACCATCACCATTGCCGCTTTCACCACCTTCACTCAACATAACCGAACATTTCAATGACCATTACCACTTCCTGGCTTGACCTACAATCTCAGCTATCCAGTTTCAACTCAAAACATTCCAACCTCAATTCCATCCAGCTACAAACCTTCGTTGACACCAACCCACACCGTCATCTTGGCCTACCTTGACTCGTTTACAAGGCATTCCCTTCGCAGTCGACCCCAGTAACATCCACCATAAAGAACAGCTTTAACTCAACTCGTTTACAAGGCATTCACTTCACAGTTGACACAGTGACCCCATTACCAAGACTATGCCAATCCAATGTCACCCTGCTTCAACACAGCAGGTTGACTGACCAACAAGATAACCTACAACGTGCACCAACCGTATCCTGTGACCTTGATCATGCTGGCATAAGAAATGCTTCAACTCCCAACACTATGCATATACCAGACCATATTCCTGTACTCTTTCCCAACAATAAACATCATTTCACTCTCATTCGCATTATTCCTTTCTCTTGCTACCATATGCTTAATATATAACACAACTGAATAATTCAATAGTAAAGAAAGATTTTTAAAAATTCATATTTAATACACATTTTAAAAATCATTAAATGGGAATAATTTCCTCTATCTATACTGACATAAAACAAAAAATGCTCATCCTCAATTCCTAGGGATGGAAGCTTATACAAAAATGTTTGTCTTTGTCAGAGCAAGTGAGTGAGGAAAATTTCCTAGTAAATATTACCCACACATTCTTTGATAATTACTGTAAAATAACAATAGCAACATATATTAAAAAGGACAAAATTCTAGAAGGAAGGATTGATTTTGAATTCCTGTTTTTTGCCTTTCCTATGCATTATATACATTACTCCAAAGTGACATCAGGATTTTTAAACTGAATTGTTGCTACAACATTAATTTATGCTTCTTACTAAATTCTTACAAAGTTTGTAAGTTTCGGAATTCCAATTATTTTAAAATTTTAAATAATTAAACTTTTTAAGGATATTTCAAGATTTAGATTAATTTCTCATTTTTAAATTTAAACTTTGGTTAATATTGAAATTTATGAAACATGAATCAGATGAAGATATCACTAGTTACTGTATTTCCTGGTTTACAAGACACACTTTTTTCCCTAAAAAATACCCTGAAAAATATGTGTGTCTTCCAAGGCGAGCGTAAGGCAACACCCAGAATCCAGTAAGCATGGATGATCACCTAATTGGCTTGACTGATAGACATGGATTTGTATGTTGAGTCATTACACTACAATGTTAGCTCTCTATCTAATTCAGCTTTTTATATGATGTAATCTCAGTATTTAGCTGTTGCAAGTATTTCCAAAACTGTAAACCTTCCTGGACCCAAACTGCAAGCTTAAACATGCAGTCTGTTTACTAGCCTTTCTGCTCTTGGCTAGTATGTCATTGCCATACAAACAAAATCGATTGAGTGATTAATGTAAACAATATGTGGCACCAGTATATGAGGGATGCATGGTGAATATGTTGTTGTATGAGAATGACTTTTTTTTCTTAGAAATTTCTTTCCAATATTAGGGTGCATCTTCCAAGCTGGAAAATACAGTAATAATTATTTGGCTAACAAGTAAGAAAAAGTGATGTATTTCTAGCTAATCAAATACAAATTGCCTACTTGTAAATTATTTGATATTTTAATTCTCAAAGCATCACTACAATTTCTGAACAGAACACATATTAACTATTATTTTAAGAATTGGAAAAAAGTACCCTTTTCGTTTTTATGTGGAGCCTTGTCCATTACAAATTTTTATGCACTTGGCAAAAAAAAAAACACTATTTTTTTATTTATATTATTTTCAACCTGACTAATAGTCTCATCTTTTGTTTTGGAATAATAGCCTAATGGATTAAAGTGTTGGTTCATTAATTTGATGACAGTGATTGTGAGTTCAGTCCCTGGACCAAGTTGTATAAACTCAGTGGAAACAATAGACTTCTCAAGTCTAGCTTTTATTGCTATTTCTGGCATTAATGTGAGTTTCCTTCCAAACCTTTTGTTTAAGATAGTGTGGAAAGTTAATATCTTTATATTGATTATATCATTTTCCCTTCAAGTTAAATCTGCTAACCATTTTTGATATTGTTGGAAGTGTTCAAGCAAGGTGGTTTCTGACTTCTTCAGTTTTCTGTCAATTTTGGTAACCTTCAAGGAGTTTCAAACTGAACCCATTAATCTCCGAGTTGGGGGCAGATTGTTCTTTTTCTGTTGTCCATATCTAAGGATATCTCATCTTGTTCTTCTTTAGTGCTGCTTAGTTATTGTTCGTCTTGTTTTCATTTATTCTAAGTCTATATTACTCATCCCTGGAATTGAATTCATAAATTTACAATCCACTGAAGATGTTTGCTACTGTACCTCAGGATGTTTATATATTTTTCAAATTTTTTCATACAATGAAGTGATTAATATATCTTGTTTAACAATCTCAAGAAAATTAACTTTTTTTTTTCTTTTTTTAGTAGCCATGTTACTTTTGGCCTGATGAGCAAAAACCAAATGCAGCAAGCATCTCATATTCATGTTGTTTGCAATGATCTTTATAGCCAAGGTGGAGCCCGCAAACCAGTTCCACATGGAGTCCTTGATCACAGAATGGTAATGTTGAAACATTAAAATGCTTTCTAATAATTTCTACCTATTCATTAACAAGTTACTTTTAAGAAAGACTTGTATATGTTGTAATTTTTGTATTTTTATGATGGCAATAAAGATTGTCTACTTCACAAATATTATGGTGTATCAACAAGTCCATGGCTTGACATGTAGGTAGTAATTGAAATTTGATCTGAAATGTTCACTGTATAATGTTTGATGTGTTTTAATATATACAGAGTAGTCCATTTTCAGACCACCCTTAAAACATGTGACCTTTAAATGATAGATTTATTGATTTGTACATCCATACTTCAGAAATTTTGCATACATACAAAAACAAATTGAAATTCTTTTAAAAATATCTGGGGTTGTCAGATTATAATAAGCTTCACAATATATGATTAGTAAATATAGTTTTTATTAATAACAACATTTCATAAGAATTATCACATTGAAAATTAATTTTAAAAGATTTAAAACCTTTATAAATTATTCAATTTAAAATTGTAAATTCGTTTTTCATTGTACAAATTTTTTTCTTCAGACAATATTGTCTTTAATATATATTATTCATAAAAGCAATTAAAAGCTTCTTTAACTTAATAATGTTTTTATTGTGCTTTTTATTTTTCAATTCAAAACAGATTTTTAATAAGAATGGGTCCAATTTTGTAAAAGAATTTGATTTAAATTCTTCAGAGAATTCTGCTTTTAACTAATATAGTCACTAAAAATTATCTCAATGAATTTCTCAACTTTTCATAAGATTAAGTAAGGTGCTGAAACATATGTTTAAAAAAAAATTTACTAAGATGTTCTAAAAAAAAAAAATGAAAAAAATAATTTCATTCATTTGTGAATAAGTTCTGAAAATTTTATTAAAATCTGACAATTATTTGATTTTTGCAAGAATTCCCAAATTAATGTGTCTGTTGTTGCAAAAAGGCCAAAATTTGCTATGCTGAAAGTTAGTACAATTGCTAATGCAAGAAAAATAAGTTTTTTTTTAATCAAAATTTTGAATTGTAAAAAAGAGTAAAAAAATTTAAATAACCAATAAAATACTTCCATTCTTTTTCTTAATAACAATGATTTTGATGAAAAAAAAAACTGGTTTTCATTAAGTTTGAAGCATGTTTTCATCATGGTATTCTGATATTTTAGCATTTTCATGGAGGTACCTATTTAAGTATGTTGTAATGTACAGCAAGAGTGTTGAGGGAAAACACCTAACTGATTACTCTCCCAGCAACTACGGGGGTAATAGGCAGAGTGGGGAAAGAGATGGGAAGTAACAAAAATAACACTGCCTTGGAAAACACAGCAACTTTAGGAACAAAATGCCCATGGGACCAACTTCACATGTATGTGTCTTGCCCACTGCTCACTTTTGGTTTTTGCATTGTTTTTATTGGCATGAGGCATCTTACAAAGACTGGTTGCAGAGAGGTCTGTATTTAGACATGTCAAGCTGTCCTGCTGCTAACAGGGAAACTTCAGATATAACTGGTGTTGACAAACATGTCCGCTTGTGATCTGATTTTTTTTTTTTGCATCTGTACTTACATGTGTTTGCCACAAAGTATCTCTCTTCAGCACTAATTTATTAGGAAAAGTGGGTATATTGAAATAATCCAATTGTCTGTTAATTGTAGGAGATTGAATTAAATAATGGCACCTTCACTGCATTTTTGTTGGAGAAAGTTATATTCTTTTTTTCTTGAGACAGCCTTTTCCAAATCAAACTTTTGACCATGAAGGCTTTAGTGACAAACATATACATTGAATGTGTTGTTTAATTTTAAGTCTCTTGTTTTATGTTCATATATTCTTTTCTTTAAATTTCAAGATGTTTCACCAATGTATTGTAGGGAGCATTTTCTATACTTGGTAATGATTCTTTTCACGTATTTTAGGGCTAAGCGAAAGGAAGCATTCTTTTTAATGTGTCATAATCAAAGCTTGGTGTCAACTATTTCAGTCATACATTTAAGTTCATGTAATAAACTAGTTATTAAACATGAAGAAATTCATGGAAATAATTTGAATTTTTTTTTTAAGTAGATGAATAAAAGACAGATATTGGCTTCAAAGAATGTTAGAAGGAAATAATTTTTTTTTGTCACATTAGGAGTTCTGTAACCCATTAAAGTTGTTGGGTCACCACCTTTAGCTGTAGCAACAGTAGGTGTATCTAGGGAAAGTTTGCCTGCCAGAACCCATCCATTTTTAGGCAGTTTTTGAGTTCAGGGTTTTCATTTTAGATTGGGCTTTAGGTTCCATTAACCCCAAGCTGTGAGTAAAGATGCATTTAAACCTTTCCAAGATTACCTTTTGGACCAGGATATTTTATATGAAAAATTCTTAAACTGTAATAAAATTTTAAAGACTGTTAAATTTATTTTTATTATATTTTATTTTTCATGGTTTTAAATTAGTTTAATGCCTCAATATTATCTGAAAAAAGAAATAAGTGACTTATTGAAATAATTACAAACATAAAAAAGAAAACTTTAATATTCTAAAGTGTTAATATTCTAAAGTTAATTTTGCCTTAATATTTTAGCAGCAATATACTGGTGTATTGGCATGCCACTTGCCTGCTTACCTCCAGGTCATAGGTTCAAATTGTGGTTGAGACATATGTGTGTGTTTATTTTAAAATCATGACAAAAGCAATCAACAAACAAAAATGTCATTGACTTTTACATAAGACAGTGTTTTCCAAACTGTGAAATGGTAGACTGGTGTGCTCTGAGATGAAATTAAATGTGCCAAGAAAGAACTAGATTATTTCAAAATGTGAAAAATGCAAACAGAAATTCATAATAGTTTATATATAGGTGACAATTGGAGAAGACACTTACTTCCATTTACAGAGTTGTTAGGATGGAGCATGGTTAACATGTGCATGAAGACGCTCTGAGGCGAGTGTCTTCAGTGTAATGAGTCCACTATTATGTATGTTGCTGTGTAAGGTTTATCTACAAAATGAACCAAAATATTTTTACATGTTCTAAAGTGTGTTATGAGTAGGAAAGGTTTTTGAATATCTATCCTAGACAATGTCAGACTTCATAAAAGGAATGTTTCTTATGTTTGTTTACTTCTTATAGGGCACAAGTGAAAGGGACAACAATTGTGAAACTTGTGGTAAATGTTTGGCTGATTGCACGGGACATTTTGGTTACATTGACCTTGAACTTCCTGTTTTTCATATTGGATATTTTAGAGCCATCATCACCATTCTTCAAATGATCTGCAAGGTATGTCTTTTTCTGTCTAAGCTTTTAAAGATGAAAATGTTATGTCTTTGAAATTTAATTTTACTTTTTATAATTAGGATCAGAATGTGAATTTAGAAAGCAGAATAAATGTTTGGTTTTCACTAGTGGAAAATAAAATTATCAGTTGGTAATGAACACCAAAATAAATTCAAGATTACTCCTGAATACTTTCATAATGTTTTATTGAAGAAAAAGTACCAGTAAATACTTGTTATTTGGATTGGTAAATGAATGCTACTAATGTGTTAATCTGTTATCTACTTTATGTTTTAGACATGCAGTCGAGTATTGCTTCCAGTGAATGAAAGAGCTGCCTTTATTGAAAGTGGACGCAATCCAAACATGACTTATTTACAGCGCAAGAATCTCAAAAAGAAAATTCTTGTTCGCTGCAAGAAAATCAACAAATGTGCCTATTGTCATTCTTTCAATGGTAAATTAAGGCACAAGAAATCAACTCTTTCTTTTTTTATAAATTTTATGATTTTATTTAGATTTGTTTTAAAGAAATCCATGAAAACAAAAATATTTTAGAAGTTTTCAAGCATTATATATATGTAAACATTGTTTGGACACTATTTTGTGTATCTATTGTAAACAATGCTTTGATTGATGTATTCTTCAGTGTAACAAGAGCTCATCTTCAGAAAATTTCCTTTTTTTTTCTTATGGATTATACATGACGCTGTCTGAAGAAATGGATTAGTCAAATAATTGTTAACAACTATAGAAAGAAGAGATTTCAGCATCTGAACAATGTTGGATATGTTATTGACTTTTCTCAAAATTATTAATATTACATTTTCTATTTCACTTTTTATTTGTGAAGAATTTAGCTTTACTTAAAAAATTTTAACAACATTTTAATTTTTTGGAAAGTAAAATCAAATTTAGTTAAAAAAAAAAAAAAATTGAATTTTTTTATTAAAATTGATTTTAATATTTAATCTTCTTAAAATTGTATAAAAGTTCAAAAGTTTTTTTATGCTGGAGTGTGGTCCAGATGCTAATGAACAATAATTCTATTCCTCTTTATACATCTCATATTTTTTTTATGCAGGTATGACAAAGAAGATAGGTATGTTGAAAATTGTCCATGACAAATACAAGACTCCAAGAAAAGACAATGATCCTGTCATCACAGATTTTCTGCACTCATTTGAGGCTTCCAAGGAAAATAATAAGGAATTAGAAAGCTTACTCTCTAAAACACAGGTAAGAGTTCATTAAACACCCTTTTTTCCTTCCAAAATATTAAAAATTTGCTAAAATTTCACCATCTCTAAAAATAGATGTATATTAAAAATCACCAGACCACAAAGCCATGGTTCAACCAACCATTGAGAAAGCTTTCACAACCAGGATAATGCTGTGGGCCAATAAAAAATCAAAGTAGTGTTTTTGATGTTGATCGCTAAATGTGTATATAACCAAATGAAAAATCAACCAAAACCAGAATCAATAAATATATTTTCTCTGAAAAGAGCATGACTAGTTGGCTACACAATCCTGCTACATGTATGAACATGCACCCTTTCTTTCTCCACCTTTTTAAGCTGACAGCTAATGTATTTGGATACATACATACATATACATATTTACTTCCTTCTGGACTCTTTCTCTCTATCTCTCATATGCACCAAGACATTTATACTTGAACTCTTTAATAAAACTTCAACTTTCACCTTATCCTTCTGTATTATTATATTGTGTTATATAAAGATTTATTTTGTATTTATCAACACTTATTGTGCATTTTCTTTTAATCATTACACAAGGCCAGTATACACCCAGATCAAAATATACTGATATATTGAGGTAATGGATATTGTGAGAAGAAAACCTCTACAACACATCTTCATAGGTGCACAAACCAATTTGTTCTGATGCTCTAAAAGCTTAGTAATAGAGAAAGTATTTTGTTATAATAGTAGATATTTCTAATATATTTAATACAAATGCTATCCTGGCTAAGAAAATATAGAAATAATTGAAAATTATATTGAATATGCAATGGGATGCATTCAACATGTACAACTGCAACAAACAGTGAGAAGATGAGAAGAATTGCTTTAAAAATTTGAAATTATTTGATGTTAGTATTTTTCTGTTTATTTCAGGAAATTCTCAGTCCATTAACAGTGTTAAAGTTATTTGAAAGAATTCCTGAAGAAGTAAGTGAATTTTTTTTATGTTACTATTTATATAATTTATAACTATAAATTGTTTATAAGAATTTTATTTTATTAAACTAATCTACTTGTGTTGGTTATTCTTTTCTTAAATCACAATGTCTCGGTTAATGATCTCTAAATTTTGTCAAGCCTTATTGGTTGAAAAATGACTGTCTTATGTATAAGATGTATTTCAGCTAAGTGGCTGAGAATAGTGTCGATCTTTGATTTACTTAAATGTCATGAAGTTAAATCAGTTGGATCTACATTTTTATTATCACATGTTCTTGGTTTATAACATTTTGATTGGGTAGCTAAATTGTGTGCGTATGTTTAATATCAGGATAATTGAAATTTTTAGTAAATAGCAAATATGTCGGTACATACCAAAAATAAGATATTTTTATAGCTTGTCATTTTTCATTTAACTTTTGATTTGCTGTTTTTCAGTCCAGTCTTTATTTGTTTCTAATCATTTTTATAATTCACTTAACAAAAATTGATTTTTTTTTTTTTTTTTTTTTTTTTTTTACAACTTATCTGGTTATTTAAAGCCAGAAATTATTTTTAGATTGTAAGAATTTTTGGGAGATAATAATAATTTTACTGATACAAGTCCTACTAATTAACCCATAGCTGGGAGGAGAAGAGGTGGATTCATACCTTTTACCAAGGGTATTTGTGTGTTGAATGGAATTGGAACTTGGCTCTCTGAACAAAAATTGGAAATCCTGAAAATATTATGAATTAAATGAACCAATTATAAAAGAATATTCATAATTTAAAAAAAAAAAAATCTTGTCATATTTTTTTTTTTTTTTTCCACTAATTTTTTTCTTTATAAATCAGGATATCCCATTGCTTGTGATGAATCCAGATGTTGGTAAACCCAAAGACTTGATCTTAACTCGCATCATGTGCCCTCCTCTCTGTATCCGTCCATCAGTGGTTTCTGATCTCAAGTCTGGAACGTAAGTATTTTTAAAAAACACTCTATTTTCCTAGGATTTTTTTTTTTTTTTTTTTAATCTTCTATTCATATCTAAATGTTGAATAATGTTATTTTGTAATTTATTTCCATTTTTTAAAAAAAAAAAAAAAAGAAAATATTAAATTCTTTGTTGATAGTTTTTCTTTTATTTATGCCTGTTCAACACGATCAACAGTATAAGAACTAGATAAGACCTTACCTTTTTATAATTCTGCCAAACACATTAGAATTCCAACAAGAATATTTTATTCATTTATTATGTTTTCTTTCTAAAAAGTCAGTTAGGTGAGCCCTAAATGATTTTATGAGTCTCTGAAGTGTCTGGTGTTTTTATGACCAGCAGTAAAGTCTACAAAGTAAGATCATCAAAGCAGCCACCCACTGACCAAAAGGAAATAAATAGATAAATAAATGAAAACTTTCAGGAACAAGTGTTACTAGGCTGGAAGTTTGAAAGTTCTGCTTGCAGTCACAGAATTGAGAATAGTTCTAATGCTGTCTGTTGGCAGAATTCCAGGCTGCCTGTTAAGGAATTGCAGCCAAACATCATGATGTAAAGATGGGTAGAAGAGCGTTTGGAGAGAGTCCTCATTGGCTAAAGTGAAAAGATTATCTGTTAGTTTGTCATGTCAGAAAAGGAAGCCTCAAGAAAAGATACATGTCTACAGAATAAAATTTTTAATGATAATAATAGTACAAATCAGTAACACCTTTCAAAATACATAAAATTATGAGAAAAACAAGCAGAACTTTGACCAAATATTGTGGAAATAGGATTTACTTTTTTATTTTTCACCAGTGTAAGTTTCAGCTTTTCATTTCCTTGTGAATGTACAATAGATGTTTTCTAGTTTTTGTGTATACTGATGCAAATGAGAATAGAGATAGAATGTGGGAGTAATTTGTCCAGTAAGTGAAAGATTGAGAGGAACCTGTTGTATGTTTACAATGTATTAACAATATGAGCATAATCTATTGTGGTAGTTGTTGTTTTTTTTTTGTTTTTTTTACATGCTTTAACAATTAATCTAATTTCACTTTGCTCTCTATTCTCTAGGAATGAAGATGACATTACAATGAAATTAACAGAGATTATCTTCATGAACAATGTTATACAAAAACACAAGGCAACAGGAGCCAAGATGCAAATGATTATGGTAACTAGAATTTTTCATTGCTTTTTAATTTTATTTCTTTCCTGTGTTGGTTATTTACATAGAGAGGATTTTGGTGTTGCAAAAAAGATTAATGGAGAATTACAAAAAGGTCATTGGCACTTGTGTCTAAGGCAGATTTGAATTGGATTATTTTCCTGTATCTTCTAAAAACTCCTTGTTTTAAGATATTGACTTTATGAACTTTTTCAGTTGCTCAATATAAAATAATCATACCATATAGCACCTTTTCAAAAATATGTAGGTCTAGCAGAGTACGAGGCATTGCCCAAGAATTTAAATTAAAATTTTTTTTTAATCAAGTTCATCCCAAGTGAGGTAGTAAAGACACTAAGACATAAGGGGTTACTGAGTGTGAAAGAATTAGAAAACAAACATACTAAGAAGCAAGAACAAAAGGAGAATAATCAGGAGGGCAGTAGATAGTGATTGACATTGATAACAACACTGAAAAAAATCTAATTTTTGTATTATTATTTTGGATGAAGAATTGTTGATATATATTTTAATTCATTTAGTTTAATAAAAATTATCAAAAGTAGTATGAACCTGATGTGATTACCAAATGACATTAGATTTAAAAAAAGGTAACACTTAATCAATGCCACCATTCCAAAGGAGATGTATTTTTTAAATGTGGCATAGTAAATATAGTCATTGATTCTATTGCGATCACGTACTGATTGAGTTCAGTTACTAGATCAGGTCTATATAGTTCAACAGGCATGATCAAGAAATGGCATCACAGGGACAAAAAAATAGCTCAACATCTAGGATGTTGTCTATCAGACAAAATTATGGACACTTGATGTCTGGCTATAACAATGATGAGAGCAATAGTTTGAATAAATCAAATAAAAATGCTCTTTTAAGATAAAATTGACCTCTGGTGGCCTTCAGTGACATTGGAGGTCAGTATCACATAGCTTTTTCTCTCTTATTTATCCCCACATATCAATTTACCTCCAAGAATGTAGTGGCTTGGTTACAATATAGATGATAAAGGTCCTAAACTAATTCTACCTCCAATGACCTCAGAAGTCAAATTTGACATTATTCATCTTATCATTTATAAAGTCAAAAACATTTTGTTCTTCATAGCAAAACAATACACAGGGCTAGAAATTAATTTGGTTACAAATGACATGCAGTTTTCTTGGATGACCTCTCATCACATTATATAATATATAATTTAAAAATATGTTAAATTTTGAGAAATAAGGTAAAAGTAAGGACATAATTTCTATTTGTCTTAATGACTTATTTAATTCTTTTGCGCATTTCTCATACAAGATGGTTTCAATCTCCGTTTTTTTTTCTTTTTTGTTTTTTTTTACTCTAAGGGTATTATGTGGTAAAGAAAAAAAACAAAATAAATATTAAGGCCACTAAGCCCTACAGTATTTTGTCTACAAGATTTGTGCCATAAAATACTGTAACAGAATTACAATAGTGTAATTTTCACCAAAAAAGCATTGCCTTTTACATAGTTTACTAAAAAAGATTTTTCCATTTACAAATAGGAAGATTGGGATTTTCTTCAACTTCAAGTTGCTTTGTTGTATAACAGTGAGACTTCTGGAATTCCTCTTCACATGCAAGTAAGTGATTTTTTTACTCTCATTATGAAAACAGATTGTTAAAATACATACACGTACACACAGAACATCTTGTTTGTTTATTTTTATGGAAACATCTTAGAAAAGCTAGAATTAGAAACTTTATAAAGATTTATCTATTGTTAGACATTAGTTAAATTATTTTCATAAAACAAATTTCAGTTCTTATTTGGAATAGAAAATTACTCTCACTTATAATGCAACATTTACTTTAAAAAGTTATTTGTCTGCAGTTATTTTCATTTTTACATACAACTGTTGATATTCACTTGGTATTGGTAACTTTGTCTCTGTTTGATGCCAAGGATATGTTGTAGACAGTTGAGATGGAAGCTTTCCAGGTGGTTTTACTGCCTGATGTATGTTGTTCAGATTTCACTGCTATAAAGAAGAGTATTAAAGACACATGCTTAAAATACTTGTAGCTTGGTGTGTAAAGTCAGCTGACTGTTGTCCCATACTCTTTTACTCAATCTGGCCATTACTGCTGTTGTTTTGGTAATGTGTTTAATTTCCAGGTCAAGCAATAGGTTGTTGATGGTAGATCCCAGATCTGTGACTCCAAGAACCACATTTCTGATGCTGATTGATCAAGATGCAGGAACATCCTTACCCATGAGTCAACCCAAATTCCTTACAAGCATGGTTGAACTGACTAATCAGTTGTTGGCGGTTGTGTTTGGTGTGCATGGTTAGAGCTGCGTCATCAGTAGTTCTTTGAGGAGGACTGTGTGCACCATGGTCTTTGCCTTCAGGCTGGCCAAGTTGAACAGTTTACCATTGCTTCTTGGGTATAAGTTTACCTCAGATTGTCTGAATGCAAAGGTCAGTAGCATGGAAAAGAAAATGCTAAACAAAGCATCCTTATTTTATCATGCCCTATGAAGGGCACTGAAGATTCACCATCAGAGCTGGCTACTCTGGCATGTTCTCGTGAAAGATGATGATAATGATGTTCAGCAACTGTGGGGGACAGCCAATTTACTTTAGTAGCTTTTGAATCCTGCACAGTTTATTTCCACAAGGGAGGCAACTCTTTTTAGAATATGCACTTTAAGTTTGCTTTATTTATGTATTTATTTTTTGACAGCCCAAGAAGTTTACACGCGGTTTTGTACAACGGCTAAAAGGAAAACAGGGACGTTTCCGAGGAAACCTATCTGGAAAAAGAGTGGATTTCTCTGGCCGTACTGTCATTTCTCCTGATCCCAACATGAGGATTGACCAGGTAAATATCTGGTAAATTTTTCATTGTTTTTTTTAAATCTCATTTATTCCACTTCATTAATAGTTGAATTTCTTGTTGTGTCAGTCAGAGTTTGTCTACAATTTATGTATTGCTCTATAATTGCACAATAATAATAATAATTTTTTAAAAGATTTAAGTAAAATCTCATAAACAGGAAGCTAATGAAAAACAAAACCATAACACTTTTCTCTAGAAGTAATCCATCCAAAACTACTTAATTCTAAAAGCTTTGACTGTACAGAGATAATATTTGTTTAATGCTAGGAGAGGGATATATATTTCTCTTATACAAAATAATACTTAATCTGACATATTTTTTCCACTATTCTCGTATTTCATGCACCTCCCCAATTCCCATTTGAATATTTAGTGAAAAATTAAGAATTCATCACAAAATCTCAAAAAGAAAAAGAACCTCTTTTGCTGGAGTCATGATGTGCATCAAGAAAAAAAGGAAACTAGCCAGAGTATGAAGCCACGTAGCATTCGTCTGCAAGTGCTTGGACCTGAATCTCATTCCACTTGAGTTATAAGTTAGAATATCTGCACACAGAAGAAAGATTTCAATATTTTAAAAGAAGTACAGAATTTAATAATTGCAATTTAAAATGGACATATTAAAGAAAGAATAACAAAACGTTTACATTGCTGTAAAGTGGTTATATTGAGAAGCAAAAAAAAGAAAAACAGATTAACCATTTTTCCTTTCTCACCAGAGGATGAGAAATGTGCACAGAAACTAAAATCAACGCCACCAGAGACAGGATGTTATATAATAAATATATAAGTATCAAAAATTGATTATACTTAAAACTTAACAGTCACTTCTACTTCAGAAGGTTGGCTGGAAAAAAATATAATATGAAAACAAAATAGGAAACAAGTTTGATATAGAGTGGTAGCAGAGCGTAGTTCTGATCCATAGATCACTGCTACGACTCTACACAGGAATAGACTCTCTTTCAATGGTGATGAATTAAAATCAAAATTTTAAGGATACATGTGAAACCAAAACTGACACAAAACAATCTTGGCATCATTTGATCATCCCAATGGTGAAAGAATGCAAATGTGTTTGCCAAATTAATCCAATTTCTAGATGATCTTATGAGAGAAGCCCCTGGCGATGGCAGAAAAGTGCTGCAAATTTTGAGAGAGCACTATTTATTAAAAGGAAAACTGAAAATAATTTTCTTGTATAACCACCCTATGCAAAACGAGTGCTGAAACTATTACGGATTAATAGAGCTGAAATTGCTTCAACTTTTATTAAAAACCTCCGGAGAATTAATTAATTTGCTAATAGCCATGGTACTGTAAGGCCTTCCATCCAGATTTAAACCATTTACAACTGTTATTACTCAGAAAGACAAACTAGTAATGTTTAGTGAATTTAAAGTAGCATTGTAAAGTCTTGAAGAAACTGAAGAGATGATTCAGGAGAATAACAGTGAACATACTGTAATGGCTCTCAGAATGCCTAAGTCAAAGCCATCTACCTTTGATATGCCCAAATCAGAGAAAAAACGAAAGCTTTCTCTCTGAAAAGTATCACTCCTCTTCTTAAAGATATCAAATATTAATCATATGCAACAAGTATAAAGAAGATACACTTAAAAACATTAAAAGTTAGAATTAAAATCCATTATAAGTACTTATCAATTGAATAGTTTTTTGGCAAATTTTGTTACTCTATTTAATGTTGTTTCTGAAGAACTGAAAGTTTTTATTGTATCATTACTATTCTTATGAATATTTTCAGGTATCTGTCCCAGTTCATGTGGCAAAGATACTCACCTACCCAGAACGTGTGACTAAGGCCAACATGTCCATGTTGAAGAAAATGGTAACCAATGGACCAGATGTCCATCCGGGGGCCAACTTTATTGAGCAAAGAGGCACAAAAGTGAAAAAGTAAGAAAAAAATTTGTTGAGATTGTTATTAATCAGAATTGTTCCTATAAATTTTCACTGTTTCTCGACCTGGCAATTTTTTTCTAATCTTTGTTTGCTTGTGCTACCTTTCCATATTCATTTATAGATTAATTTTTAAAAAAGAACATAATTTTAAAAAGTGTGTTTGTATAACGAAAAACAACTAGACCTGAATACCTACCTATGTAAGCTGTAAATAAGTATCCTCCTGTCACAAGACTTACAAGTACCACATGTACTGCAGTTTTAGCAGCAGTAGTATGCCTAGGGCAAGATAGATTGATGGAACCACTCACTCTTCAGATTGGTTTAGAAGAATTTGGAATTTTCTTTTTCTTAGACTGCTTGCTCAGTCAGCTATGATATTTGACCCATAGTTGGGGTGAAAAGAGATGAATTCATACCCTTTCCCAAGGGTATTTGTGCAAAAGTGAATATAACAATCTCAGCTTACTGATTTCTCTTTCTGGGTTGTTAACTATTACACTACCTACACATATATGTAAATAAGTATTGTGGCCTATAAATCATTGCTCAGCAACAACTTGTGTTGCCTATTGATCAGGATGGCACTCCGGAGTAAGTTGATATGGATGGTGTTGCTGTCTTAGATAACTTGAGGTAGTCAGTATCTTTATTGGAGAGAAGAGAGTGGATGAACTATTCCTGGTAATATTTGTTCATTTAAAGATTAAGGAAGGTTAAAAGCTTTTAGATTTTATCTAAAGTTTTGAGCATGTGGTACTTGTTACATGAAGAAGGAAAAATTTCCCCCTTTTCCTTTGCAATACCTTTTAACTATTGACTATGTTTTCAAGTCCTTTGTAGTTACTTGAATTTAAATGCAAAAGTTGCTTTATCTGAGTATATTTCCTCTGTTAAAAACAATATTTCTTTTTTCCCCCAGATTTTTGCGTTATGGTAACCGGATGAAAATGGCTAATGAATTGAGGTTTGGTGATATTGTGGAACGGCATATGATTGATGGAGACATTGTGCTTTTCAACCGACAACCATCTCTTCACAAACTCAGTATCCAAGCATTTTTTGTAAGCATTTTCTTTTTACTTTAATAATTTTATTGATGACTTTTTTAAAATGCAAGCCAGTGGCTGTTGAATATATATTTAGGTGTATTGATAGAACTGTTTTGCAGTTTCTAAGGAGATAACCACCTTCTGTTGACACATTTTGAGATTATCTAGAAAAATATTGAGGCATACTAAAGGTGGGGAGAGTTTTGGATAAGAGGGCAACTTACATATGTGCTCTGTGTGGAAAGTATCCAACCGTATGTTTAAAATCATTTGCATATTTTTGACATGACTTGGCAACCAATCAGAAAGCACCTTACTGCACATTCATGAACCCACATTCAGCAATGAGATGCCATTGAATGAGGTTGTATGTTCTGTGACTTATCACAACAATGCATTAACCCAATTTTCGTGTCTCATACAAAACATCATGTCGCTCAGTTCTCTCTCTAGATTTACTTCCTTGTGACAAAGCTAAAATTACTGTCTGTGGATGAGATTAAGGAGAATATAAAGCAGCTGATTCTGAAAGAGGACTTTGCAGGCTGTTTTGTAATGGCCATTGAATTAAATGAAGCCAATTTGTCTTTGATATGGCTGGCTCAAAGCCAGCCAGATAGCAATAAAAAAATTGTCTCCAAAACTGTCAGCTGGTGGGAATAAACCCCACTTACAAGACTTGAGAAAATGGTGTGAAAAAAATCTGAACATTTTTAAAGTTCTTGATGTGGGGCTGGATTAAATGAATTTAGTGAATTCACAGTTTCTTCATACCTATGTCAGAAGTCTCACACTTTGGTGTCAGTTCATTAATTTTTATTTTTCATGTCTTTGAACTTTTAGTGAAAAAATTAAATAGAACCAACTGTTTTTTTTTTTTTTATCTCATGATAGGACTAGCTTTAATACGGATATAAAATTGTTACTTTTCATAAATTATAAAATACATAGATAAATAAATTGAAATAATTCACATGCATTCCATTTTTTCCAGAAATATTGAATAGAAATTTAAAAGAAAATTGAAAATTAAATTAATATGTATATTTTTAAGTGCAGAAACTTTATTTAAAGTCCAAAAATGGGCATTTTTTTTTTTTTTTTCAATTTACAAGTTTTCACAGTAGTAAAACAATGTTTTATTTTTTCACTAGTAGTAAAGCCCGGTGTTGCCCGGGAGTAAACTTCCTCTAAATGGAAGGTCATAACCGCCATACTCATTTTGTACACACATGTAAGGCTGAAGTCTAATAGAACTGATGGCCACCTACGTAAAAAAACATAATGTATACAAGTTGTCAGTATTCATCAGCACAACGGAAGAAAAATTGTAAGGTTTAAAAGGAAGCAATGGACAACCATGGTAGCATCAGCTGTTTGCTATTACTAAGACACCTCCATTTAAAAGTTGTCAAGTTCAATACGAACACGGGCCAAGTTTTTGGTGATTTGAGTGCAAGACATTACATGAAGCCCTGTGTCAGTTGCAATGTAGTAAAATGCAATAGCGTGAAAGGTACACACGTCTTTTGCCCAAAAGACAGCGCTGCCACTACCACAAACAGAACCACATAACAGAAGTATGGGAAAGTGCCAGGGCGAGTAAGTGGCACAAATTTTTTTGTAGTTTTTAATAGCTAGTTGAGGCAAGCATGAAGCGCATGTAGCATTACCTAAAGCAGCCTTTATGGTAAGGGGAGAAACACACCAATGGTGTACGGCAGAGAATGCATATTATAACTCTGCATGCTGCTATTCTTTTATTATCCCACTTCTTTTTGCTGAGGTCTGAATTGCTTGGGCCTTTTCGACTTCTCTGACCATTAAACAAATCCACTTTTCCCACGTATTGGTTTTGTGTTGCAACTGAATATGGTTACATGGTTGACATGTAAGTGCGAATACAGCTGTGGTGGGGTTTAATTGATAAGGGAGCATCTGGTGAACAAAACAACCTTTAATGAAATGTCTTAGTAATGGCAAGTGGATACTACAATGACCTTTAAATAAAGTGGGTTCAAAAATGAAGGAACCTACGATGGAGCTGACATAAAGATGTGTACATTGCGTTTAAACGTGACCGACCATGGGCTATAGGACTTCTGCGTAGGTAATATTTTTAGCTTTGTTTGTTGGAGAGTAAACGTAAATGTTATCCTTACTCCTGATTCTGGAGCAGCCTACATAAAGCTGTCCATAGGTGAAACACTGTTCACCTAAATGCAGACCTGCGACACTGAGCATCTGTTCTTGCAATTTGGCCATTGTTCTTGAGCTGTGCTCATTGTACCCCAGGGCTTTCTGAAGCTCTGGCAGATGCAGTAGATCTGGAATTTCTCAAACAATGATTAGCAGTCTGCACAGATCTTTCTAAAGCTCTGGCAGGCGCAGTAGTGCTGGCATTTCTTAAACGGCGAATAGTGGTTTGTTGAGGTTGTTCCAAAACCCTGGAAGATGTTGTAGCCCTAGCATTCCTAAGACGATGCGAAGTGGTTTGTTCAGGGCTTTCTAAAGCTCTAGAACATGCTGTAGTGCTGGCATTTCTTAAATGCTGAAGGATTGTCTGTGTTGGGGACTCGGAAGCCCTGGCCCTAGAAACGCGCATTGCGTCCTGTGAATTCTGTACTAAACACTCTTCAGTTGAAAGTCTAGCGCGTCATGATGACATAACTAATGCTACTGATGCCAGCCTTTCAGTCCGTTTAGCGGTACTTTCCGTGGAGATGCAGACAGCAGAGCGTGAGGCCATCTGAGGAAGGTGCAATGAAGTTTGCTCAGTGGTTTCACTTATCCTTGCAGCTCTTGTAGCAGAGCCAGCAACCACATGCCGTCGAAAAAGTTTTCTTCTCTTAGGCGGCATTTTAACCAATTTTAAAAAGGCAAACGTAATAAAAGGTATGTAGGTTTTTTGAATGCAAAAAATACATGTAGTCTAAACATAGGCAAGTTAGAGGGATCCCAAAAATATATGTAATTGTATCAAAAGAGGATCAAAGACAAAAAAGTGAAGTTTAAAAAAATTCAACTTAAGCTAAAACGGTAGTAGGTAATTTGGGAAGTAAATTCGATAAACATGGAAATGGATGTAGTTATAATTAAGAAGTAAAAAAAAAAACAGAAAGCGATGTAGTTCCTTATCCCAAAATAGGCATTGCCTTTTTGATTTGTCATCACTGATGTAGCGCAGTCTCTCAAAGTCAGCCAGTCAGAAAATGGGATTTTCAAGTGTCATTTTTCTTTGAAAATTTTGAGCAGCCAGGAGATATGAGGTAGTTTTATTGATCAAAAGTTGAAAATACAAACGTTTTTACACTTCTTATGAACAAAATTTGAAGCAATGTTAATTTTGTTTACTGATGGATGATGAAGGCATTTAAGTAGCACAAATTTAGATGAAAACGTGAGAACTTTTTTAGACAGCAATGCGCAGTAGTAAAATTATAGTGAGTAGGTGCCTTTTGCTACACATAAATGGTATGAAAAGACATAACTGTCCCCCTGTGTGCCCTCGAATGAAAAAATGTAATCAAATGTGAAAAATTGGACAATTGGTGGGGGAGCCGATTCTGTCCACTTGGCTTAAAATTGGTGGCGTGAAGTGGCATGAAATGTCTTAAATGCTCACTGAATTCAATCCTATGCTTTAGTAGGCTAAATCGGCTACAAACAACTAAAAAGCAGCAGTTCCACCTTGTTTTTACTGATTTTTCTGGTAAAATTTGACATGTAGCTCTGTAAATACCTTTTAAAATGGCCTTCATTTTTACTTTACTGTGCAAATGCAGAAAGCATGAAAAGTAATGCACGCCTGCATTGAAACATTAAAAGATCCTTTTTAAAAACCATGGTATGAGCATTAAATCCTGAAATAAAAGTAGGCTACCTGAAACCTCTACCCCATTTGGGATGCTTGATGCGCACATGTGTGACACCCCCCTCCCCCGTTCACACATGATCTCGCATGACACTGGAGCGTGAATGGGCCAATCAGCAGCAAGCATTATGCATCGTGCAAGCCACGTGTGACTAATAACACTAATCTGATTGGCTTTTGTAGTGCAAAGTTCAGCTGCGACAGAAATCCTTCATTGTGATAACTTTTGCATCTGAAACCAAAATATGGCCATTCTTGTCCTTTCTTATTCCCATATAAGCACTTAAATCCGACTTTTTTCTAATTATGTTAGTGCTATTAATTCTGACATGAAAAGTGCCCATATCTGCTTGTGTGCAGTGAACACACATAATTACACACATGTGTGTCCGATGAAAAATCGATAATATTGATTTAAATATTGACTTAAATCAATTTTGGTGCTGTCAAAACCTCCACAGAACCATTAGCAGTAACTGTGTCAAATTTGGTTGAAATCGGTTGAAAAATGTAGGAGATCCGGTCAAACATATAAACGAACACACACACATTCTGCCTTTTATATATGTATATAGGTTTAAATAGTTGAAGTTTTATTAAGCAAAATAAATATTAAAAGTATGATAAAACTCATTTCAGTTTTTAAAAGTGAAATTAATTTTATCGGACTTTTAATTCTTATTCTACTACTTTGCTAATAACTTCAAGTACGTAAAACAAAATAATTTAAAAAACATTGCATTTTTTTACATTGTTAAAAGTAAAATGAACCATGTTTCTGTTAATGTGGCATTTAAATTATGACTCCTCGCTTGTTAGAATTGAAGTAAATACTTAAAAAACTGATAAATTATGAATTAAAAGTACAATGTGTTTTTTTTATTTTCTTTTTCTTTTTTTTAAATAAAACAGAGGGTATATAAACAAAAACAAGTTATCTTAATTTTAATTTTTCCCAATTTAGAAAAATAGAAGAAACATCTTTTTTTTTTTAACCACCAACTAAACAGGGAATTGATAGGGAAGGATAAGCTTGTTTAGCAAATTACTTTGTTACAATTCAGGAATTCCACTCTGTTAAAGAATTTCTATTATTTGACAAGATTTTGATTTTTCCACAAAAGCAGTACACAATGGTGTTGTAGGTTCAGTTTCTTTATTTGCCACCCTAAATACCTTTAATTAATTAATAGTTTTATTCAGACATCAAAATTATGATGACAAAAGATTATATTCTTTTATCAGTGAAGAGTCATCTTATTAGCATCTCAATAGTGGTCTTAGTTTTTTAATCTTTATCACTCTGTATATGACTTCATTTGCTGTACAAAATTTTATCCTGCAACTGAAGGTAACTTTGATCACTGAACAATAGTGTGTTTGAATTTCATAGTTGTGTTGGCATATCCTACTATGGCAACTGAAAACAACTTTGAGTGAAATTAACAATAAGGATACTGCAATTGAGAGGTGTTGAAAAAAATGCAGTGGAAAAGAAAGTAATATTAATAGTGCAAAGTGCTAAAAGTTAACCTCATCTTACCATTGTCCGGTTTATCTAGCAATATACAAAAAAATCGAATCAGACCACAGATTCAACACCTTCACTTGCCATTAAAGAGCCAACTCCTTTCCACATGGCTTCTAGTGATACCATGTTAATATACTCAACATCTTTCACTGGATGCAAATGGCATGCATCCTCAGTTTGCCTCCAACAAAACTTTAATTGCCAAGGAAACTTGCAGTAACCTAAATATTCATTTCTTTTTCATTTACACACCAATGTCCTTAAGACATTTTACTATGATGCTGAAATACCTTGTACAAACAAAATTTCCAACAGTCACCAATAGATTTAAAAACAAAAAAAAACCCCAAAAAACTCCTTATATTCATGTCATGTCCATGTTTGCTTCTCTCACTACTCAAAGTGAGCTGGGAAGCATTTATTGTCACAGTGTCATCCAGACTTATCACTGGTAACTCATAGGTGGTGCAGTATTACCAGAACAGATTCTGAGAACTTTGACCTTAGGTGAAAGGACATTAAGTGATCTTGATTATATTAGCTGTCAATAATTTCAAGAATCATCTTCATTGTAAGAGTTGGTCAGGCCTTGGTTTTCTTTTTATTGTTTCCACATTATTTTGACAGATTCATTCTAAAGTCTTTTCCAGCTGTGCAATCTGTAAATAAGGAGAGAAATCTTTTCTAAAGAAGCAAATGTCTGACAAAAAAATGATGATTGATATATAAATGGGTTTAGTTCATTGCCAGAAATGTGAATCACACAGATGTTATGGTTCTCATCAACCTGTGTAACATAGACAATTCTCTATTTAGGCATAGGAGTGCACTTTGATTTCTTCACTGCTGAGAAGAGAAAAGCACATCTTGCTGTATTAGTTAAATTAGCCTATTGTACTGTTATTTCCAGAAAAAAGTTATTACTAATACAAGGGGGTGCTGAAAAGTTCTTGACTTGACCAAAAAGCCCTTTTGCACCCTTAAAAAAGATTCTGTTTGTTCAGATTAAGTGGATATCGTCAAAAACTTTTCACCTTTCCCTTGCATATTTAATTTTCATCAACAGCATTATATCATGTTTTCTCCCAAAGGAAAACACAAAAAAACTTGCCTTGTTTGATATTTTATAGTATATTAAATGCACACACATTTTATGTTAAACACGTGAAATAGCTGAAAAATTATTGCTGTTTCTTCTAACATTTATTAAATTTCTTTTTTTTTTTTTTTTTTTAAATTTTGCTGTTTTAGGCTAAAATTATGCCACATCGTACATTCCGTTTTAATGAATGCTGTTGTGGACCATTCAATGCAGATTTTGATGGAGATGAAATGAATTTACATTTACCTCAAACTGAAGAAGCTAAAGCAGAAGCACTTGTATTGATGGGTGTAAGGCTTCCATTCCTTTTTTATAATTTTGTCTTTGTTTTTCTTATTATTATTGCATACTAATATCTTATGTAGTTACATTATATTATTTTATATAAAATAGTGTCTCATGAATATGAGGTAAGATATTTATTGGATTGATTGAAAGCGATTAATCTACTTTTCAGAATGATGTTTTTCACTGTCAGAAATTTAACCAGAAAGTATGTGTGTGTGTTTTTTTTTTTTTTACTACTTTTCTTTTTTGAATGCAGGATCAATGAATGAATTTTGTTTAACAAAATAGGATTGAGAGTTTGCCTTATTTAATTGGTAATTAGTTCTGAGTTGTTATTTTTATAAAAATTAGAACTGGCATAAGTTATCTTAATGCTGAGCAGTAGAAAATAGACTAAAGAGCCCAAGCTCTATGATTGCTTTTTACCACTTAGGTATTTTTAAATTTTCCATATTAAGTCCATAAGAATATTTTTAACGATTTGCAAAAAATATCTGATTTACACAGAATTTGTTTTTTTTACTTAACATCCTAAGAATAATGATTATGTGTGAGTCTGTAAAACATTTTTTTCTAAGTTTATATGACACTGTCAAGAGAGTTTGTGCTATATAAAGTCTGAAGCTCTAACCTCCCAATTTCAGACTAAAGTTTGCAACCATGATTTTAAAAAAATGACACTCATAATATATACAATAATTAAGAATCACAAACATAATGAGACAGATTTCAACAAAGGCTTCACATTAAATGAAATAGACAAACTATTATATAATAAGCACAATTTTAAATATTCTGTATTTTAAAACTATAAACAAGATGAAATAGATATAAAATGCATAATGATATACAACCATAATCCTCTCTTGTACAGATTTGTCATGTTCAACCAAAGCATAATATGATGATACAGAAATACAAAAAATGCAATAAGACAGCTTCTTCTTGATAATGCAATAGTATTTGAAATGTGATTTATTAAGCACATTGCAAACAAGAGATTATAAATTTTAGAAGTAATTCATATTAAGTCAAAGCAAACAATAATTAACAAAATTACTTTTAATTTAGGAAACTTCACCATATTTATAATAAAAAATAGTGATGTTCTGAACAATTCATACACGTCTATGTATTGAATGCTTCTGATGATATGGCAAAAATTAAATTTTCTTTTGTTAATAAACTTGCCAAAATAAAATGATATAATTTATTTATGTCTTATTTTTAGCTCCCATCTTATTTTTTTTTTAAACATGTAGTAATTTAGTAGTTGCATTTTATTTATAATATATCATAAACTCAAATATTGCTCTCATTTTTGATAGCATGGTCAAACATAAATATTCCCATGAATAGTCATGGAAATATTTAAATACCTATCATAAAATTGATTCATTGTTTCACCTATTTTGTTTTATTTTTTTTACCTTTGCAGTCAAAATCTAATATTATTACTCCCAGAAATGGAGAACCTCTAATTGCTGCTATCCAAGATTTCATCACTGGTAAGTTGTTGCCATGAACTGACCATTTATTTTTAATTCTTGGAAACTTTTGTACCAAGTTGAAGACTTAATGGCTTAATCTGTCAAAGTAACAATCTTTTATGTTAACCTTTTTGTATAGCACTTTTAGAAAAATTAAAAAAAAAATCTTGATATGTAACAAGAACAAATATGAATTACAAATATTTTAGAATAAAAGTCAATGATCTTTTGCTAATTTTTTTGTCTTGCAGGTGGTTACCTCATTACCCAAAAAGATGTCTTCTTTGATCGAAGTCGGGCATCACAGTTAATTGCATCTATTCTTGCATACAATGACCAAGACATCAGGATTGATCTACCCCCTCCAGCTATATTTAAGGTTTGCAGTAACACCTTATCATTCAATGAATTAACAATAAGAATTTGCAATATTTTAAACTTACTCAATTCTTATTTTTTTTAACTGTATAAAAACCATTAAAATTTTTTATTATATTATTTGATTTATTTCAAATTATCTGTTTTTGTATTTATAAGAGGAAGCCAAGTGGAAATTATTTTTTAAAGGCATATAACAAATACTTGCAAGAAACACAAGTGAATTTTGGTTAAAACAAATTAAAACACGTGTTGTTCAATTTTGGGGTCTAGTAGTGTTGAATAATTACAGTTTCAGTTGAAAAAACAGCAAAGTGACAGAAAAGTGAATGAAGCTGGTGAGTATTAACTGATATGAGTGATCTCCCCTAATCATGAAAAGCAGAATGAAAATAACCTGTCTACCATGAGGATTGAAGATTACAAAATATGAAAACTCTTGAAGAAAACTAAAGTTCACAACAGTCAAAATGTCATTAGTATATCAACTAAAATAAGCATACTGATCTGAATAGCAAAGCCTATAATAGTTAAGAAATAAAGAAGCAGTGAGAGTTTAAACTTTAATGTGGCAACACTCTTGTTAAAAAATCTGCTTCTATACATTGGACAGGAATAATTTTTATATAAGGATATGATCCAATCATTCTTATGAATAGCATTAAGATAATTATGAAAAAGACTAACATCGCAACTTATTTTAACATGTCGCTTTTTCTCAAAGGTGTTTAGAGATGCCTATAAAAATACAAAGAAAATGTTAAATTTAATTTTTGTTGTTTCAAATGAGCTTAACACCTTAATATTAGAAAAAAAGAAAGTAACATAAACTCCATTATTCATAAAGTGCAAGGAAAAAAAACTCTTACCTGATTAGATTTAAATACATTGCTGAGCTGATCTAAGAGACAATAGTTGAATGATTTAAGATATTGGTTCTTGCTGTGAGTTTTTGCTTCACAGCATTTAAATGTTCGCAGATTAAAAGCTGCTCAATTGTTTCAAGATGTCTGAGTATCTCATAAATATTATGGCATCTTTCATCATTGAAATAATTATGTTTCTATTATTATAATGATGATCAAGTTTATACTTGTGTCTCTATGTAAACATTGGTTGTTCATACCCAAGTCAGCCAACCTTTACCCAGTGGGTAGCCTCTTGAGCAGAGAGAGAAGTGTTTCCTCTCTGCAGAGGAATCACTTGGTGTATTCTAGGCACTACATCTGATTTTAATCATTTCACCCTGAGCAAGGCAATAAAACCACTAAGATGCAAAAAGTTACTGAGAGTAAGAGAATATGAAAAACATTAAGGGGAGAGGACAATAAAAACAAAAATTAAGAAGACAGAAAATAACAAGTGACATTGTATTTAAATGTTCGCAGATTAAATTTGACTGGAAAGCAAGAAACCAAAAAGAGTTCTGCAATTGAGAAATGTGAGGGAACAAACTGCTCACATAAAATTTATGGTTACATCTAACCATTTCAACTGTAAAATGATGAGATCTTGCCACCAATCTAGTACTGTGCTTAAATTCATAGAATCTAGGTACCATAGAGGAAAGTTCGTCAGAACAATTGCTATGAAAATATTTATAGAAAAGGCACAGAGAAACTGTTATAGCAGTGGGAAATTGACTGAAGTCAAGATACCAGGTCAGGACCAATAACATTGCAGATTATTCTTTTGTATTTTATCATGAATTTCTAAATACATAGCAGTAGCACCAATTCAGCAATATTCAATGCATGGATGAATGGTAGACTTATAAATGTGTAAGTTAATTTTAAAATTAACCAGGTTTCTCCACTTGACAATTTGGTGTACCGCGATCTCCTTACCCTCAATTCTGTACCCTTAGGTGACAAATTTAAATAAATACAAACATTAAAATAAACTTTAGTATTTCCAAGTGAATTTCACTTCATAATCAAACATAACTGAATGTGTCCAAGCAGGATTTTTTGGTCATTAAGCATCAATGTACATACATGTAAACAAACAGAAGGTTTCCTTTTATTACTGAAAGTGTAACATTCAAATAAAGAAAGGAACTAATTGAATAATATACTTTTCTTTTTTGCTTGTTTTCAGCCCTGTAAGCTTTGGACTGGAAAACAGATTTTCAGCCTGCTCTTAAGACCTAACACCAGCTGTCCAGTTTTAGCCAATTTACGTGCAAAAGGCAAGAATTATTCCAGTGGAGAAGATTTGTGTGTCAATGATTCATGTAAGTTTCTTTCTCTTAAAAACAGAGCCTTTTTAAAACTTAAAAAATATTGCTAAAGGATTGAAAACATTTTAGTAAAGAAAATACTTTATTCAGTTTTTAGTTGAGCATTTTCTTTCCAATCCCAATCATTATTTTTCTGTTTTGGACAAAACACTGTAATTAAAAAGTGATTTGGAATTTTAATAAATTAAAAGAAAATCCTCCTAAGGCAGACATTGTAAGAGAATATTATTTAACATAATGTAAAATAACAAATGTGGTTTGAGAATCTAACATAACTGTTTCTCAATTTTCTCTGTAACTTTGAAAATTGTGATACAAACAATAGATTTATTTGAATATTATGTGGACAAACTTGAACCTTCATGCCCACAAAAATTGGAGTGTCAAAAGGATGTTTTTTTTTTTTTCATTGACAATACTATTATTTTAACTACCTTCACTTCTTGGCAATGTTTACTGTTTTAAAAAGCAATGACTAGAATTGCAATAAGACCAACATATATGAAAATGAATTTGTACATTTTCTTTGTTCTCGAGAATTGAAAACAAAAATAATAAATGCTATTGATTATATTGTTTACATTATTATATTTTTTATTGGAATGGTTGACAAAACATTGGCTAACTGCCAATTAATTTGGACTTTACAAAATTGTAAATAAGGATTTCCTTATAGATGGGTCACATATTTTAATAATTTAGTAAATGTTTATTATTTTATGAACAAAAAATTGTTTTCATATTTATTTCTTTATAAATTGGTAAAGGATAAATATTTTTAGCATGTTGTAAATATAAAATTATTCTTGTAAATCTAATAAATAGTGTTTAATATTTTTGTTGTAAATTCTCAAGAACAAAGAAAATGATTAAATTTAAACATTGCCGAGTGAAGGTAGTTAAAAAAAAAAGTGATGTCGGGGGGGAAAAAAAACGTTCTTTTAACACTTTTTTTTTTTTTTTTTTTTTTTTTTTTGTGGGCATGAAAGTCCTAATTTGCCATCATGTCTCTATATAATCCCATAATTCTCTCTTATTATATATATATATATATATATATATATATATAAATAATTTAGTTAAAAAATCATCATATAAGAGCATCCTTCTTTTGACGTATATCAATTTATTTGATATGGTCAGGGTTAAAATATGAAAACCAACAAATGTCAAAAAAATTGAACTTTCAAGATGTATGTATTACTAAATTGAAAATCTGTTTTCTAATTTCAGTTGTAGTGATCCATAACAGTGAACTGCTATGTGGTGCTATGGATAAGGCCACTCTGGGTTCAGGTTCCAAAAATAATATCTTTTATATCATTCTGCGTGATTTTGGAGAGGAACATGCATCAAGTACTCTTTCCAGACTAGCAAGACTGTGCCCGGCATTTTTATGTTAGTATAGAATACCTTTTCACCCATATAATTTAATTGTTTTTAATGATTTTTGTTATATCGAATGTTATTTAGATGCCAAAGTTTGTATCTTTGCTCTTGTCATCAAAATATTTCAGCTAGTTCATTCATCAGCTTTCTTTAGCTGTAATCCATGAGGGGGAAAAAAAAAAAAAAAAAAAAAAAAAAGAAACCTTTTAACTCATAGCACAGCCTGGAAATGGAGTGAATTTGAAATTCAAAATACACAGATTTTAATGTCAGAGTAATATTTATGTTTCTTCACCAAATTATTGACAATATTTTCTGTTATTTTTTTTTTTTTTTTTTTTAATTATTATCTATATTTTGGTTGGTCCATTCCCTTTCCTTGTAAACAAACCCAGTTTAGAATCTTGGTTAAATAATGTTTTAGCTAAATCTTGAATATTGTGAATTAATATTTATAAATATTTAATTTGAACAAAATGTAAATAAATGAACTAAATTTTAATTTATTCTTTTATAAAAGATCTCCAGAGCCTGTCACATTCACATTCTTCCATTTGTATTTAAATGCCCTCCTTTTCCAATATAATTTTCATCATGGTGAAAACCACAAATTTTTTCATGTGCTGATTATATTGTCATGAATAGAAAAGATCCAATTTGGAAGTGGATCTATTCTATGCAAAACTATTTTTAAATGCTCTTTTAGTTTTCATATGTATGAAATGTATGTATTTTTCTTTTCATGTTAGCTGTCAGTGTATATACATAAAGATAAAAAATGAATGACTTACAAATATTTACGATGATGATTTCATTTTTTTTCTATTGAATAACTAATCACACAGTGCTGATTAACAGGCCATTTTTTTTTTTTTTTTATAATTATCTCAAAGTTGTAGAAGTAAAGAACCTGTATCTTTGGACTTCTTTGAAAACATGCTGAGCTGAATTTATTTATTTTTTTCCAGCAAATCGAGGTTTCTCAATTGGAATTGGTGATGTTACACCTGGACTTGGGCTTATCAAGGCTAAAAACAAGCTCTTAGATAATGGGTCAGTTCTGAAAACTGTTCAATTTCCATGTACTCTCTGTTTGATATAATAACTCAAATCTAATTGATTATATGGTGTTTGTTATGACACAGTAATTAGCAAATTATCCTTACAGACTACTTTGCTAGTATTATGAGTTCAATTCTCGAGGGGGGGGGCTTCACTATTGTTGCCTTGCTATTTTATGCTTTTAGAATAACTAATTGGTTATAATTTTAAATATAATATTATCTCACAAAAACTGACATTTTTGCTTGTTACACAAAAAATGTAGTTGATTTTGCATGTTGTGAATTTTTACTTTTTCTTTTAAGATAGTTTCATTTGTTTGAAACAAAAACTCATTGAAGAAAGCCATCAAAATATAGATTATTAATTATTCAATTCATAAAAATAATCATAGAAATGCCTTTCCAGAACAGATTTCATATTTTCAGGACTCATTATACTTGAAGTATGATAATATAAAAAAGATATGTCATTATTATAAACTGATTGATTCAAACTGTTATCCTTATTTTGAGTGTTACAATCACAATATTTGGCTGTTGTTCTTCAGAATTTTGTGAACTAAGTCACGGGTTTGATTTTAAATTCTGAAAATGTTACTTAAAATAATGCAGAGGTTACAATAGACAAAATGTTTTGAATATAGCAACTAAGATGAGTGTTATAGACAAGCGTATGGTTTAAGAAATACGACAACAGCAGAAATAGATTTACGTGATTTATTTCAATAGGAACATGTGGTTTTGGAACAGCTACCTCGTGGTATAGTTCATAAGCCGGCTGTCGATCTGGGTTGATCTCTCATAGTAGTTCTCACTGGTTGGCGTGGCGCTCCTCCTGCTGACTGACCGTAATAGGTCTCTTCCCTGGCCTCCTGTTGACTGCTGTTGTAATTCCCCGTGTGACCCCTTTTATAATCAAGCTTATGCTTAAAAGCATAAGCTTGATTATAATTTGTATTATAAAAGAAAAACTGATTCTTCATCACATACTGTGTATGAAATGTGTATGGGTGACTTACATGTGCTTGTGTCATTTAATATAAACGCACACAATTTGACTGAGTTTGAAATAAGACATTGGAATAATACATTCTTCTGCCTTCAACTGAGTAATAAAATCATAAATCTAAAGACAAGGGGAAACAGAATATTTTAAACAATATAATTCAGTTAATCAGAAAATAATCTACCTAATGAGTTTGGGTAAATAGGTGGCAGAGTAGGGAAAAGGAGGTATAAAAAAAGTCAAATCTTGTTAAGAACTACAAAAGAGTTGTGAAGGATCATGATCACCCACGTCCTGAAGGGACATTGTACCTTGAAAAAGATCTCTTCTTTTTTTATTCAGTTTAAAAAAAGTTATCCTATTATCCTTGATAATTATAGTGATCAGATATGAATAATTTACCTGTACTATAAAAAAGAAAAAAAAATTGCATTCTACTTGTAAAATATCAAACTTTTTTTTACTTTTTTTTTTGATATTGAGGGAATACTGAACATAAACATTATGTTCAGTATTCCCTCAATATCAAAATAAACAGGATTTTATTTACCACTGAATAATTGACTACTATATCACCTAAAGAATGAGAATATGAAATATATAAAAGTAGATATATATATATCTATACCTTTTTCTTTTTATATGTTTGGATTATTATATAAATTTTATTGTTGCATGTTATTTTACAGTTACTGTCAAACAATTCAATAAACAATTCAAATTTGTTTTTGTTAACAAAAAAGAATTTTTTCTATAATCATTACAAGTATCCAAAGAAAGCTAACAAAAACAATGTATAGACAACCTTGTCTCATTACTTAGTTATGAGATATTTTGTTGTTATTGTATCACAAGGCATGTTTGCTTTGAGTGGCATCAAGTAATGCTTTGTTAACATAGCAATTTAATATCTCATTACTAAATGAGATCAGGTTGCATGACCAATAAAGATATTCAAATACGACTAATTTTTATTCTTTACTATATATATATATATATATATATATATATTTGCAGCTATTCCAAATGTGATGGCTATATTGCAGACTTGAATGAAGGCAAATTGACAACTCAGCCAGGTTGTTCTGAGGAGGAAACCTTAGAGGTTAGTGCAGTTGGCTTATTGTCATATTGAATTTAAATACTAAATTCTTCTAGATATGTATGTAAATGAGAACCAAAAGTGGTGCTAAGGGCCTGGAAATAACATGTCATATTAAGAACTGTAATTATAAAAAATCAGCAGTATTTACAAGATAACATTTTTTCAATAGTAAGCTGACAATGTCAAAAATTTAATTCTGAAAACTCCTAAATCTTTAAGTCTTCTCAAATCAAAGATAACTAGCTTTTAAATTTGGCCCAATTTAGGACAATAAAATTGTCCTGTCTCTGTGATGCTAATATTGTTTAAGCCCATAACTCTACCAATGAAGTGTTATGTTTTGATTATATGGCACTCATGTTTGTAAAATAGAGATGGAACCAACAACTGGTCTATTTGTGGACAATTTAGTGTTCAATTGTTATAAAAAACATGCTGTCTTGAATATCCAGTACAAAGGCCTTCCGAAACAAATATTTAGCTTTTAGCCTATAAATTCAGTATTAATCTTATTTTCAGCATAATTTGATACATTTAGGAATATTATTAAAAATCCATTAAAGTGAGAAGAAAGGCTTAAATATCAACTTCAAGAAGAGAGAATGCGTGGTTGTTGGCAAAAAGGTTGAATGCAAATTGGAGATGCCTAAATCAAAGAAGTGTGGAAATTTAAATATCAGGAAGTGTTTTTACAGGGGATGGAATGTATGACACTGAAATCTGAAGGTGAATTGGTATAGCCAAAGATGCATTCCAAAAGCTAAGCAGAGTACTAAGAAATAATAGAATAGAAAAACTCTGTAGAAACAAGGAAAAGAGTACTAGACATATGTTCTTTTTTATGGCAGTGAGTGATGGACAATTTCTTCGAAGAAGAATGTTGAGCATACCATGGGCTGAACATGTGAGTAACAATGTTTTAGAGAAAATGGAAACAAAAGGGAAACTTATACTTAACATCAGGAAGAGACAGTTGCACTTTCTAGGGTACATAATAAATAGGGCTTGGAAAATTTGATACTCACAATACAGATTGTAGGCAAGAGAGACAAACAATGCATAACATACTTGGTACTTGAGTAAATGGGTGGCAGAACAGAGTTTAGGGGAAATAACAGACAATTTATTAAGAATTGCAAAGGAAAGGAAGTTGTGGAGTGCTATGATCACCCATGTCCTGAGGGGACATGGCATGGTAAATATTGAGCACTTTTATTGACAAAATTCTGCTCATCTTGACATTTACCAGATTACTTAAGTTTATGTACATCAATTATTTAGATTTAGAAATATGATATCAAAGGGACAACTTTGATGTCAATGTTTGGGCCCAGTTTTTGAATGTTTAGGGCCTTTATTTTCTACAGGGTGCTAAGATACATTTTTGTCTAATCTAAGTGTATTTAAACAGTTCATTGTTTGATGCTATATAGCTTACTTTAATCAGATGGACAATGTTTTGTCCATAAATGGGCCTATTTTAAGTCTTGAACCAAATTCATGGTGAAAATCAATTTTGAAACCATTTCTAATTTTATTATGTAATTTGAGCAGTATTCGATAAAAATTACACAAAATATTGAATTTTCTTTGTTTTTGTTTATTTTGCCTGTGGGTCTGTATGCTTTGTTTCTTTTATGGATATGTCCCTAAAATAAAATTTCAAGAAATTTTAAAAATTTAATGTTTCCTTTGAGAGATTTATATTCTTTAAGGATTCACAATAGATTACTCTAAATGTTTGCCAAATGTAATTGACCAAAAAGGATTCACAGTAGATTGCTAGTGTTCAATTCTTCATGACTTGTTACTATACTAGTACCTTTTCTGTGTTTTGTTTTTATTCAAATGTTGTTGCATAACTCCTTGAATAAAAAACACATTTATACATATTTTGTGTGTATCATTGCCTCTGTTGTATCTTAACTGTGGCTTAATTTGAAATCTGTGGAGCCCGTATAAAGACATTTATTGGATGGCACATTCAATTTTTTATATGGTTCAACTATTCACTAACCTTATTATATATAATATTAATTTTCAATTTGAATGCTCTTTATACAAGAAGATATTTCTATATCTTTTTAAAAAGTGAAGATACAAATAAATTTACTTACTATAATCTTGTATGTTGAAGATTAAGTAAACTTCTATTTAGTCATGTATTAGCTCATCCAATTCAATTATTGTTTCTTCCTTAATTCTTTAGCCTGCATCAAATAAGTGCAACTAGTCTCGGACCAATTCATTTTCTTAAGCTGATAAAAATATTTAATAAAGAAAGTAAATTGGAGATTTATCTATTGTAATGTAAAATGGTGCAGCCACTTGTATCCAAGGATGTCACTCTACTAGGGTGGCTAGCTAATCCCCATTGCAGATGACCGCTCAGGCACATGTTGTGTTTGCTCAACACCCACAGAGCCCACCTGTGGTTTATACTGCAACTTTGCTGAGCATACCTTAGTTACAGCTGCTGGGAGAGAGCATATTATCTAGCATAGTCAACAGTCTGAACAGGGCCAGCCTGCTCAAACCCTCAGTTATGATGACATGTGACTTCATGCTAGCACAACCATCGATAGCTCCCAAGGGTTCTATCTACCTAGTTTCACTCACAAGGCTTGGATGAACCTGTGGTATAGTTTTCAGGCACTTTCCAAATGTGCTGTATGCTGGGATCACCTTCTCCAGACCAATATCTTCAAGAAGTCATCTTTCTGACAAATCGACCATGGTGAGATAGCAAAGCAAATGGTCTAACCACTCGGCCACATGCCCACATTGTGATGTACCAGCAAGTTTATTACTACATTACATAAAAAAAAATCTTCATATTTGCTGGTTAATTTTATCTAATTCATATTGAATCCTAAAACATGTTTGATAAAACATAAGTAATAAATAATTTTGATAAAACATAAGTAATAAATAGTGAAAGAATAATAAATAAGGATGAGCAATTTATATTAAATATTTTAATGCTGCACAGAATCTTTTGTAGGACTTTTATTTGTAACTTTCAGATAAAAATGTATTATACTTTTATTTGTAACTTTCAGATAAAAATGTATTATACTTTTATTTGTAACTTTCAGATAAAAATGTATTATACTTTTATTTGTAACTTTCAGATAAAAATGTATTATACTTTTATTTGTAACTTTCAGATAAAAATGTATTATACTTTTATTTGTAACTTTCAGATAAAAATGTATTATACCTTTTGTCTCCTTGTAGAAATGAAATTGATTTCTCTGTCTAAAATCTTGCCTAAAAATGTCAATTATTTTGGTGCTAAAGAAATTTTAATTCTCATTTTAAAACCTTACAATATCCAACTTAAAATTTGTCACCTTTTAAATATAACAGTGAAACCACATGTAAAAATATCCTAAAACATTTCTTATTTTATTCATGCATAATACAAGTAAATGAATATTATATGTGTAATATGTTTTAGGCAATGATACTTAAAGAACTCTCACTCATTCGAGACCATGCAGGAAAAGCATGTTTACAGGAACTTCACAAAAGTAACAGCCCTTTAAACATGGCAATTTGTGGATCAAAAGGTAAGCTAAAAAAAATAATTTTTTTTTTTAAAAGTTTTATAAATTTTATATAATATTTATTCATATACATCTTGGCATTTAAATTTATTTTTGCATTTCTTAATATATCTTATAAATTTATTTCTTTTTGCTATTGTTAAGTGCTCTTCCATATGTGAATACACATACATGCACACATTTTTTTTTATTGAGTTTGCTCCAAGCAAGGTAGTAAATCCAATAAGACACGAGGGGTTACTGTGTGTGGAAAAATTAGAAAACAGAAACATTACTAAGGTACAAGAAAAAAGAGTAATCAGGAGGATAGTGAATCAGTCAATTTAACTGGATTTTATAATTCTAAATTTGACTACTATTATTTTTAGTAATTATGAAGAATAATGCCACTGTGTTTTACTACACTCTTCATACTTTTGATAAATTATGTCAGTGTGGGTTTTACAAATCAGGCATTATAAAAAACATGCCAGAAAACAATGGTGGTTATTTGATAAAATTCTTCCCTTTTTCTCCTAAAATGAATCCAATCTTTCTTAGTCTTCTTTTTTAAAACATGGAGACTGGATACAAATTCAATCCATGTTCCTTTAATTGTTTACAATAGTTTAGCTTAGTTTAGTTTTCAAAAATATCTTTCATGTCACTTTTCCTTTTTAAGACATTAATTAGCATTTTCACTACTTTTATCCACTAAGTATCAAATGATATTAACATCGACCTTTCGAAATTCGCAACTTACCTTCATTTCATCCTCCAAACACTGTTATGACTAATGTTTTCTATTGATGCTATTTTTTCCTGACAACCTCCATCGTTCTATTCTTGGACTATATTTTCCAATGAAAAACTATTCAGTGAAGAACTCCATTTTAATTTGATTATAATTTATATGCCATTTTGTTTCTTATCAAATTTCAGGTTCTTTTATTAATATTTCCCAAATGATTGCCTGTGTGGGTCAACAGGCTTTGGGAGGCAAGAGAGTTCCAAATGGTTTTGAAGACAGAGCTTTACCACATTTCCCAAGACATTGTAAGTAAATGTATATATTTTTTTTTCTACTTTTCATTATATGCCAAAATGAACAAATCCTTGAAACTATTTGTAGCTGAGTAAATTATGAGTGCATTTCAATTTATCTTTATTTACATACAGGATATCCTCCAAATGCATTTTATATAACATTTTGAACACTAAATAAATCATAGAGATATAAAACTTGCCATATTCTTGTATCTTTATCATGTAGATTTAAAATGATTAATTTAACAAAATAGAAATAACATCTAAAGTGCTAATAAGATTTGGAGTTGGCTTTATGAACAAAGATTTTGGCTTAAGCAGATCCTCAACTGAAAGAGTTTTCAACTTTGTTTTAAATATTCTTCCATTTATGAAATGTTCTAATGATTGAAACAAATGAAAATCTGTAAGTGCTAAATCTGGTGAGTATGAAAGATGAGGAATAACATCTCATGCCAATAATGTATTTTTTCTTGGCTTTGTTATGTCCTGTGTATCTTTGAATTGTCATTATGGAAAATAACACCTTTTCTGTTCACCAAAGCAGGACACTTTCAGTATAAGACTTTGTTTACCCAATCAAGTTGCTAGCAATAAACATCTGCAATGACAGTCCTTTGATATTCCACTAGCTCTTACTGGAATATTTCACCAGGCACAAAACAAAGACTTCCGTGGATGGAGTCTTGGTTTTGGTGTTGGCACTGGTTTCTCATTTCATGATACTGTCTTTTTTTTTTTTTTTTTGAGCCTGGTCAGTACCTAGATAAGTGACTACTTGGGAATACCAGATGTAAGCTTGGATGTGCAAGTGGTGTAATGGATGATGGTTTGGAATTGTTAATCGGAGAACCAAGTTCCAATTCCAGTTGAATTTGTTATATTCACTTACACACAAATACCCTTGGGAAAGGTATGAAACAACCTCTCCCCAGCTATGGGTTAATTAGACTTGTATCACTAAAAGTATTATTATCTCCCAAAAATTAAAATAAAATTGTGTACAAAATATTTAGATTTCGGCATTAAATAATTCATAGAGGTTGATATGCTGCTAAACAAAACTAACCAACCAATTTTTCATCACTTGTAATATTGTGATGCAAAAAAGAAAGGTTAACATTCTTAGTTAAAAGATTGTTGCAGATGATGGAACTTTGTTTTTGGTTCCCAACCAAGAATTCATGAGGAACCCAAATTCACTCTTTGTAGGTTTTTCCCAATTAAACTCTGAAATGCACTTTAAGTGACACACTGTCAGAGGAAATAAGCTAATTCTACACAGTTTCCTACCATTCTACCTCAGTTCTGCTTTGGTTGATTGACTCATTATTCATAACAGTAAAATACATGATTACTTTTTAAAAACCCTAACATTTACTGTAACAATTAAGACTCCCAATTCCTTTACTTCCAATAGTTGGACTCTATAGATCATTTTTTTTCTTACATGCTAGACAAGGTAATTCTAAGAATAAACCTAGTAATAAAATAACCTTCTTAGAGTAAAAGTAGAAACTTCTAACCTGTAAAAGTAGGAGGACACCTGGCACATACTGATATGAGGTTCTACAAATATGAGATTCTGCATTTTAAAAATTAGTCAACCATATTTGGGATCATCAAGTCAATGTGAAGGATCCCTCTTTTTATTTTTTTTAAAAAGCTGCATAGTATGTGCTTCACCAGGGTTATATACAGTTCTGAATTCAGTTTTTTCTTTCCCTTAAACCAGTTGTGACTCTTGGATACAGAACCCAGTCTGTTCTACTATTTACCCATAGCTGGGGAGAGAAGAGTTGGATTCATACCTTTTCCCAAGGGTATTATTAGCACGTAAGTGAATATAATTGAACCTCAACTGGAATTTGAACTTGGCTCTCCAATGCCACAATCCATTACACTACTGTGCTTCCTGCATTTAAACACAATGAAAAAAAAAGTAGATGGAAGTGGACAGATTTTGGAAGATTAATTCAAAGACTGGAATTGATTTTATTATTTACTAAATCTGCTTATAATTGAAAATATTCAACATAAAAATTCCTGAAATACGTATTCATTATGTGAAACAGTGCAGAAGAGCTCACAGACTGATGAAGAAGGGATCTCTCTCACCCAATTTCACATTTAATTAGATTTTGGAAAGGGAATCGACCAAGAACTTTTCAGCATCTCCTTGTACATTTGTTTTGTTAATTTCTTTTCACCAATAACTACAAACACTCTTTTTATTTTTCTTTCAGCTAAAGATCCAGCAGCACGAGGATTTGTGGAAAATAGTTTTTATTCTGGTTTGACTCCAACTGAATTTTTCTTTCACACAATGGGTGGACGAGAAGGATTGGTTGACACAGCCGTCAAAACTGCAGAAACTGGTTATATGCAACGACGCTTGGTGAAAGTGAGTTTTTCAGTTTGGATAAACAAAATTTTTTTTTTTTTTTAAATCACACTTTTTAACGGATAAAAGTATATTTAAAAAGAATGAAAAGTTCAGTTTTTCTTTTGCATCTGCAGGATTTGCAGTAATGCAAGAGGTCAAAGGTTTGATAATACACAAAATTTATAAAATAGCTCTGCTGGGGAAAAATCCTTTTTTACATTTATTGTTTGTTTTTCTGGTTTATTTTTTTTTCTTTCTTTTCATTTTTTTCAAAACATGCATATTTAAAGGAGATTGCTGGTTTTATTCAATATTAATTCATCCACCCTGAACATCAAACCAATGTAGATTTTGTAAATAAAATTGGAATTTTTCTTCATTGTTCTTTCTCCTTAAAATATTAAATTATTGAAAAACAATTTTAGTATTTTTTGTATAAAAAAAAAAAATTAAGTTCATATTTACACAATTTAGTTTTATAAAAAATGAATTCAAATCTAATATATATATTTTAAAATACAGTTGAGTGAACGTATATGTAAATTCTGTTTAACAATCAAAACTAATTTGTCTTAGTTTCTGACATAAGGACATACTTCAAATTTCATTTTATGAATAGATTAATGTATTTACATTTATAAAATGGAATGTCTCTTCTATTCGTTTTTTTTGTATGGTAATGGTGAAAACATTCAGCATTTATTGACCAAACAGTTAACGTTACTGTCAGTTGAAATTTGTAAAATCTCTTTCTTAAAACAGTCTTTCAGGAAAATAGTTTTTCAAGTCCAGTAACTGTTATCCCTCTTTCTCTTAGTATTGATGGGAATTTCCTTGCAAACTTTCTGGATAGCAATGAGACAAATGAAGAAATTGGCAAAATACATTTTTCATTTATCTTAAATGTTGTATTTTTATGTTTTACAAGTATTTGATTATTCAAATATTGCCTATTCATATAATCATAAATTCCCATATATTTTCAACTAGCCTAGAAGCCCCCCTTTGGCTGGAGTTTAAACTAGCTCCTGCGGAGGGCTTTTCAGCCTTCACCCTTTTATCTTCAGCATCCTATGTATGTAAAAGTTATAAGAATTTAGAAATAATAAAATTGTTTTATTTTTTTTTTTTTTTTCAACAATCTTTCTTCATATACACAACTGATCTCTATAGTTTGTTTACATTTATGCAACTTTTATTTTCTTTTAAAATCACCATTCTTTATGATCCCTTCACATAAAGTCACTTTTAAAAGACATTAGGGAACCCAAAATATGTAATATTTCAAATATGTCACAGTACGCATGCTAGAAAAAGAAAAAAAGATATGAGCAACATACTGTGCATTGCTTAAGTTTTAATTATAGTTTAATTAGATGATATCAATTGCAATTGCGATGAAAAGTGAAAGGATTGTTTCTTAAACCTTTCACTCTTCAATATTTAAATTTAACTTTAAATAAGTTATTTATTTAATTTTTAATCATGTGTAACTAAAGTAGTTGCTAGCTGTAATTTCAGGTTGTTTAGGATTTGCCAAGATTGGAACAAACATACACTGCACTTTATCTTAATATTATTAATATATTAGATAGATTAAAAAATAGCATCTTGTATGAATTTCTCTCTTTTCATTTCAGTCCTTGGAAGATTTATGCTCTCAGTATGATTTGACTGTAAGAAATTCTACAGGTGAAATAGTTCAGTTTCTCTATGGAGGAGATGGCCTTGATCCAGCAGCAATGGAAGGTAAAGACAGGCCAGTTGACTTCAAGAGAGTTTTGGATCATATAAAAGTAAGTCACTTATTCATCTTTGTCGTAATCATTTTTTTTGGGGGGGGGTGTAGGTAGGTTGAAAATAGCTTCCACATTTCAGGTATTTAGTTTTATTAAAGAGAATACTTCTATTTATTCTGTTTTTATTTGAGAAAAACAAAACTTGTTTGATACTGTTTTATATACATATGTAATTTATATTATATAATACAGTGTTTGAGTAGACATCTGTTTTTTAAGCAGTGAAATTAATATCTACTGACCTAGAGATAAAAAAAATGTTATTAAAGAAAATATGCATCAAAACAGGAATTAAATTTGTATTCCATTTTTAATTTGAGAAACCACCTTCAGACAAAGCATGCTTTACCATTAAGCTTCAGGAAGTCATTACGGTAAAGCAGGGCTCAGTTATTCTACTTAAGAAATGCACATCACTCGAAACATTTCTAAGTTTATAGGTGATTTTTCGGACTAAAAAGGGCTTTGCTGCAATGTATTCCTGTAACTTTATGGTATATGCTGCAGAAAGATTTTCTTTTTGCAGGACATTATACAGGGATGACATGAAACTATTTAACTAAGCCTGAATTTCCACACTTGAAAAATCCAAATTCTGTTGTCATGGTCCAATCAATGATCTTGAACAAATTAAAAAAATAAGCAAATTAGTATTTTTACATTATAAAAGAACCCTTTCCAGGTTCAGTGGAAGAATATATATATATATATATATATATATATATATATATATATATATAATGTATTTAAGCATATACCAATATTTATAAATAAAAGAATTGCAACTAATACTAATATTTAATAAAAAATATATGATTCAGCATTAATAAAACATAGTTATTTGAATAAATTAGAATACACTAGCAGTAGAGCCCGGCGTTGCCCGGGGATGTAACAGTAAGAGATAGATCAAGTATCGACCATCATAAAGACTGAAAAATAAAATTTGTAAAGATTATTGTTTAAGGTTGATGGACAATTTGTCTTAATTAGTTTTTTTTTTTTTTTTTTTTTTTTACGAATTTGTCAAACCCAAATTCAAACAAAAACATTGTTTACAGTCGTTATGAGTCTATCGATTGGTGAATAGAATTTTATTATAAACAAATTGTTTTGTAAATGGAATTTTTAAAGCATTCTGAATGTAAAAAAAAAAGAAAATTTTGTGCAAGACAATAAAAAAACTTATTTGCCAAAAAAAAAAAAGTGAAGTTTTGTTGAAATCAGTTTGAAAATGTAGGTAGCCTTTCTTTGTAATTTTTACAATTTATGATTTTTACTTATTGAATACAGTAAAAAATTGCATATTTTGCTTGTGGTGATTCATAATTAGAATTCTGATTTGAATATATTTTCCACTCGTATTTTGTTTCTAAAAAAAAAAATATTTGGGTTTATTAAATTTTATTACAAGTACTGTGTTCTTTCCTTAATAATTATCATCTTTGAAATATTGTTTTTTTTGTCTATCAGATTTCTTTTGTCGGCATTTTTAAATTATTTCTTAATACTTTCTTTTAAATATTGAATTAATTTCAAATAGAACCAATGCCTTATTGATCTGCCTTGTAACAAATTGCAAAGGAAAATTAAAAACGGCCCTAAAGTACGTGGAATTATCTTTCCCTAAAGATAAAGAATTATCCGATTTTAAAGAAATTAAAATCAGTAGAGATCGTTAGATTATTGTTTAGGTTGACGGACACGCATGTCTTAATTTTTTTTGTTTTTTTTTTACGAATTGGTCAAACTCAAACAAAAACATTGTTTTCAATCGTTATGATGAGTCCCCTGATTGAATAGAATTAGAATTTTATTATAAACAATTGTCTTGTAAATGGAATTTTTAAAGCATTCTGAATATAAATAAAAAAAAAAAGTGTGCAAGACAATAAGAAACACTACCTGCCAAAAAAAAAAAGTGGATGTTTGTTTTATCGGCTGAAAAATGTAAGAAATCCGATCCCATATATAAAGGAACACACACACACATACACAAACAACCTGGGTAAAAAACCTAAGTCACTCCACGGAATCGCTAAAACATAGAGCATAGTCTGATGAAAAAGACACCAAAGTTTATGAAAACAAAATTTTATCGTCAAAATGCTTATGTTTTTATGAAGAGGATAGACTAAATTTTTTTTTAATTATTTTTTAAAAAATTTTCCATCTTTTTAGAATATTCTAAATTTTGATTTAAAAAACCTTGTTTCTCTTTGTCGCAACAAGGGGTAGTAAATAACATAGATAATTTTTAGCACGTTTTTTTTTTGTATTTACACACATTAATTTGGAAAATCTTGCAAAAATAAAAATAATTGTCAGATGTTAATGAAACTTTCAGAAACTATTCACAGATGATCAAAATTATTATAAATATTTTTTTTTTATTAAAGTCATGGCAGAAATATTTTTTTATATTTATTATCACCCCCATAACTAATTTTATGAAAAACTCTAGAAATTCGAGACCATCGGTTTTAGTGATTACAATAGTTAAAAGCACAAGGCTTTGAAGAATGCAAATTTTTTTTTTTTTTTTTTTTTTGGCCAACGTACCTGAAAATCAGCTGTGAATTGTAACATACAAAACTCAATAAAACAAATATATTATTTAGTTTCAAATGCTTTTATTTGTTTTAATTTGTTTTTATAAATATGGACAATATTTTCTGAAAGCAAAAATTTTTTTCAACGAAAATTGAATTTTTAATACAATTATTTCTTATTTCTTTAATTTTAAAAAGATTTTTAAAAATATTTTAACATTAGTTAAAAGCAACATCAACCTTTCAAAATGTCCGTGTGAGATTGTCATTATCTAGCGCTTTGGTCCAAATTATACAATTTTCAATCAGATTAGCCATGGTAATTAAGAAATGTAATTTTTGTGTTTATAGTCGGACAGTAATTATCAAGTACGGAAGACCAACCAGAATACAATTTAGTTGCATTATTTGAGTTCAGCATTGTTCTCCGCTGTTAAGCCCTTTACTTTTGCGAAACACGTATGGAGAAGTTAATTTGAGTTTTCAATTTCAACTGAGAAGGGTACCTACAAGTAACAGTATCATCTTATGAAATTTAACTACTGCTAAACTTTAATTTATATGATCTATTTTTTATATTAATCTCAGTTATGACATTTTTCCATAAATGAAATATCAAAATTAATAATAAAATGAATGGAAATACAAATAACACAGTAAAATGTAATAAATGTACATAAAATTATAGTATTTTATGTACACTTCTGATAAAATTTCATAAGAAAGGTACCTAAATTAATTAGATACCTTTTTCTTATGAAATTTAATCTCACTATTAACAGTCTTATTTTTTAATTTCTTTATATTTTCCATAAAGCATCATAAACGTAAAAATGAAAGCTAAGTACAAAAAAAAAAATAAAAAATTAGAGCACTGAAAGTTTTCCTTAAAAGTAACGAGGTAAATAATTTGTTTACTTAAATAATTTCACTTCCTTCCATCCGTAGAAAGAATTATCCTCCCGTAAGTTATCTAAACGTCATGAATGTGCCTTTCATAAATCGTCAAGCGACGCGAAAGGTTATGACCTGCTTTGTTTTATTTTCAAATTACATTTTTTCGGCGCAGAAGCTAAGCTTGGTTCAAAATATTTTAAATAAACAGTATAATTTCTGTTTTTATTAAAATCAGTTTTGAAAAAATAATAATTGATTTTTAAAAGAATATCAAAGTAAGATTTTAATCCTTTTTATCAAATCGAAAAAAATGATTGAAAATGATTGATTATCTGTCCTTTTTTTGACCAAAAAAAAACAATATTTTTAACGAAAATTTCAGACGTGCTAGAAACGATTAAAAAAATGTAAAAAAATACCCTAAAAATACTTTGATCTTTCCTCTTTAATAATAATATGAACATTAGACGATAAAATTTTGTTTTCGTCAAGTTCGGCTTTTTTGTCATCATGCTATGCTCTTTTGTTTACATTTTCGTGGGTGAGTTGTCCCCCTTTCATTCTCATGATGTGTCTTAATCGTGTTTTCAAATTGATTTTGTTAAAAAACAATTGTGTTTTTCCCATTTTCGTCGCCGTTAGAACCACCACAAGGTAATTTTATGTAGTCCTGTGAAGTTTTATTTGAAATTGGCAAAAAAAAATGTAGGAAATTCGATCCAATATATAAACGTTACAGACACACACACACACAATCTGTGTTTTATAATAAGTAAGATAACTGTAATATACCACCAACAGAAGGGAGATAACCCCTAGAGACACAAGAGTTAGGTCCCCTCCGGACATCCGGAATCTTAATCAGCAGCTTGGCAGCAAAAGGGGAATACGAGGCCACCATGACTCGAGGGACAATCAACAACCATCCTAACATCCTATCAACACATTAATCGGTGCCTAGCAAGCATCGATAGCCTCTTGCGCAGAACATTACAATAACTAACAATAATTTATACAAAAATAAGAGAAAAAATATAATTTGATTTAATCCACCTTATGATAATATAATAAAAAAAAAAAAATAGGAAAAATATTTTTTAAAATAATTGGAAATCATTTCCCTAAAAATATTAAACTATCAAAAATCATTAATAAAAATACAGTTAAAATCGGTTATAGTTGTATGAATGATATGGAGAAAATAAATAAACATAATAAAAAAATATTAAACAAAAATAATAGCAATTACATTGACAAACCCACAAAATGGCAACAAGAATTGTAATTGTCAAAATAAAAACAATTTCTCACTTAATAAATGTCTAATTAATAATATGATTTATAAAGCAGCTGCATCAAATAACATTAACACAAAAAATTTGTATAGGAGCAAATGAAACAACTTTTTAAGAAAGATTTAACAATCATAAAATGTCATTGAAAATAGATATACACAAATAATACAGCATTATCAAAATTTTTATGGAGTCAAAAAGAAAAAATATATCAACTAAAATTAAATGTGAAATCCTAAAAAAAGTACCCCCATATAATATTAATAATAAAAAATGTAGACTGTTTAGAAGAAAAATCTTGTATAATAAATTTCAATAATCAAATTATTAAACAAGAAAAATGAATTAATGGGTAAATATGCAGACATTTTGATAAATATTTACTTTACAACTTACATACTCTGTATAATAATAATAATAATAATAATAATATGACATTATATAATAAACAGAATACAATACATACACATATATAAAAACAAAAGATAGGCATACAAACAAAAATAATAATGAAAATAAAAATTACAAAATATACAATTGAAAAACAATTATGTTTATGAAGGAACATGTCAGCACATTTACAAACATGAACATGTATGCATCTCTAACAGAGTTAAAAAAAAAAAAAAAAAGACACAAATATGAAAACACAGATATTCATTACAATTGGAAATATTTAATATATGCATTAATTCCTTGAAAAGTTGGACATATGAGCCAGGTACTACCTACCTAGGTTTCACAACATTGAATCCCATGTGGTGAAACCTAGGTAAGCAGTGCCTGACTCATTAGGATTTATTTATTTACCTTTTCTCTACTTAGCATAATGAAAACTCTTCGTTTTAACTTATTACTCGCTGTTTTTTTTTTTTTCTTTGTACCAGAAATTTAAGGTACTGGACGATTTCTTTCGTCCTGTTTGGAGGTTTCTGGTACTTTTTTTTTTTTTTTTTTTTTTTTTCTTTTCAAATTTTTTTCCTTGGATGCCAATTTGTTTGAAAATTGTGCTATCCAGGTTTTATCACCCACCAAGTTTAGATTTACATTATATATGTGTGCAAATATATCGAAAAATAGGAAAGAACACGTTAGGTTAATAATCCAATGTTTTTCAGTATTTTTGTTTTTAGTTTTAAAAAAATAGTGTTTAATACATAAGTAGAGCCTAAATTATAATTATTTTAAAAAAAATATTCCATTGCTACATAAGAGTTCTCATGTTTCAAAAACAGGAGCTAAAAACTTCAATGTAATTATAAAAATTAAATTGAATTAAAGTATCAAGCTCTGTTTCATCTTCAAGTGAAATGTTTGGAATAACTAATCTTGAAATTTACGCAGCTTTATAAGCATATTCATTCATAATATTAATTACTATGGAAACAGCTGAAGCAATTATTTCAATAATGGGCAGAAGGGTTAACATTGTATCAACATATTAGTTTTGGAAAGAGGTCAAGTCAAGGTAGGGTCGGGAGGGGGTTCACAGGTTTGAATCCTGCCAGAGAGAACATATTTTCCTTTAATAAGATTTCTCAAATATTCAGGCCAGTAGACGAAAATAAATAAATAAATATACTGTTTAATAAATAAATGGGGTGTCTACTTAAATATAGGTATCCACTAAAAATAACACTTCAAGTGATAAAATCTGTCAGATTAATAAATAAAAAATCCATCAATTTAGAAATTACAAAGATGTCTTTAATATAGTATGCTGTCTTTAACATGCAATAATTTGCCATTTTTAACATAGGATAAGTTTTATATGAAAGACAAATCTTTTCAGCATTTAAGTAACATTCTATTGTTACATTGTGGACACAGCTTTTTTTTTTTTTTTTAAACATAAGTCAGACTTTTCTTTCTCTAAATTTATCAGTTGAATTTTATATTCATAAAGGAACGACAACTCTTGCTCTTGTCAGCTTAGATTTGTTGACAAAAATCAAATCAGAATCAATGGTACAAAATTTGAAAAGGTAAATTATATATATTGTCCTCATAAGAATTGGTTTTAACTGAACATAAATATTTTTAAAACTCCAGGCTATAACATCGTATGAATGCAAAGATGAACCAGCTTTAAGTGGTGAGGAATTGTTAGAATTGGGAGAAAACCTATTGGAACAACCAAGATACAAAGATGATTTTGGAGAAGACTTTCAGCAAGAACTTAAGTAAGTTTGATAAAACAGTATTACCTTTTTTTTATTCTGATTATTAATTTGTAAGAGGCAACAAAAGAAACTTTTTGCTTTATACTTATTAGCTTTCCTTGTATTTTTGACTAATAAGATTCTTGGTTTTATCGGACTTGTATATTGTAATTAAATTAATTGCATATTTAAAACTTGATATGAGTTTATAACTAGAGTGTCTAGTCATAAACCTATGACTTTTATATCTTGTATAAAATCTTTGAATAACAAAATTTACTGTTAGTTGAGTTAGTGTGATTCATTCTCAGAAACAAAAGCCCCACAAATGATAGCATTCATAATGCAACTGACTCTGTTCTTTAGTTCCCTCCTTGCTGAGCACCCCCACCAAAAAAAAAACAAACCAAATACATTTTATGCTGAAATTCAAAAATTTAAATATCAATCTGATAGAAGAAAACCTGAAAATTATGAAAATAAATTTTTTAGGAAATTCTTTCTCCTCACAAAGTCAGTTTTTTTTTTTTTTTATCTTTATCATGTCCATCCATGTCAAAGAGTGGACAGACATGACAATACCAGAACTCCTGAGCATCATTGTCAACAGATCATCCTGGAGGATGTTGTCTGTTTTTTCTGCCCTTTGGTCCCCTAATGATTGAAGCAGTCAAGGGACTGATCATGATAGGATGAAGTAGTTGAACAAAATGGGAGATTTCATTCTGCAAAAACAGCTGTACTCGTTCAAGTAAATCAAACTAAGGAACTGGAACACTTTATGGTGTTATTATTAATTGCACAGTCGAAAATATTGATGTTCCCATTATCCAAATTATTGAGGTTCTTATAAGGAGAAGAAAATAAAATACAAAATGGCAGCCAAGTACATAATGCTTTTCCAATTTCTATTTATTTCTATAATTAGAAAAAAAAACTTTAGTTTGGATTAATAAATGATTGTTTGCAAGGTAAAAACGTTTTTGCTTTGTAAACTAAGAAATTGTTTCAGTTTCATTCAAATGTTTTTAATATGCTTAAACATTCAGGAAAATATTCAGGGTTCTCTTGATTATCACTTCCCAATTTTTTGGACTGTGTGTTTCTTGCTTGTTTTTCTCTTTGTGGTTTTGAAAGCAAATGTTATGGCTTCTAACAACTTTCAAGATTGTATTAATTTTAGTATTTTAGTTATAGTCCTATAATAAATTTATTTTTCAGGGATTTTCTAAATTTAGTATGTAGCAGAATTGGTAAAGTCTGGGGACTCCACAAATTGTATTCTATTAAAAGAGAAGATAGATCGGGTATGGTATATCTTTTTACATTTATATATAAATTCAGTATTTGTTCTACATCCCTAATTAAAATTTCAGTTTATCAAAGTAAATACCTGAAAGTAGTATTGTTAAAATGATGATAGACTCTATTATGAAATCTTAATTGTTCCTTGGATTTATTTGCAATATTTACATTTTGGTTTTTCTTTAAATCTCTGAAGTCCATTTAATGGTAAATGTATGTCTACATGCATATATACCAAATGCAAAGATTTTTATAAATAAAATATATTCATGTGTTTATCATGTTTTGAATTATATTTTATATACAATTATAGAATGTATTATTTAAGACATTAACAATTTCATAAAGATTATTTTGAAAATGTTTCAACCATATAGAAAATGGTTTAACATTATCTTAATTTTCTAAGACAACCAGCCTTATTGCAGTTGGAATTAATTTATTGTAATATTGGCAAATATTTATGTTTGGACAAAAACAAACAAAACTAAATCATTCATATGTTTATTATTTTTATTATTGTTAATAGCTGAGCATTGGTGGTATTTTGTAGTTTCTGTTAATATATAACCTCTGTAGAGATTTTAGATTACTAAAAACAGATTCCTGTTCATTTACCAGATTATGTAACTAGATGAAACTAAAAGCATGATGTCATATTTGAATAAAAATGAAATTTAAAATGCTAAGATGTGTCATTCATTTTTGTAATAGTTATTTTTCTATTTTTGCCTTCGACATGAGATTGCTTTTTTTCTTTTTTTAAAAAACATATTTTCACTTCTTCCTTTTGATGTTTGGCAGTTTTGTTTCAACTGGACCGAATTACAAAGACTCAGTTCCAAAGATTTTTAGAATGCTGTCGACATAAATATTTAAGATCAAAGATTGAACCTGGTGAGTAGTCTTTGGATATTTTACCATTTTGGAGAATTATCCATATTAATAACCTTGATCACAGTAAAGAAATCATAAATTTCTTCTCTTGTAACTCATAAGATATTTCTCTACCTTTCTTAATATAAGGGTTGATTGATAAGTAAGGTCTTCAATTATATAAAACAAAATGTTAGATAGACTAATAAAACTGGTATCAAAATGAAGTAATTTTTTTTTTTTTTTTTTTTTTTTTTTACCAGTTTATTTTCCATCATTGCTGCTGTCCATATTTCCAAATGTTCTATCCACTTTCATAAAAAGAAATTTTTGGTTTACTTTTGATCCATAAGAATTTCAACATCAGACAAAAAAAAATGTTGATCTTTCAAAGCTTCATTCAGTTTCAGGCATAATCAAAAATTTGATTTTGCCAAATTGTAGCTGTATGGAGGGAGTGTAACAACTGTGGATTTCAGGCTTTTCATTATTTGTTGAATTATTGCAATTTAAAAAAAAATCTCTTTGCAGACCTTATTCTGGCCATTCAATATTTGAGTGCTTGTAAAGTTTCATAATACCTTAGTGAATTCATCATAATTCAGAAATTCCTGCTTTATACATAACTTGGACATAATACACATGACTAATAAACACTATTACTCATTGCCATCACACTGTGAATTGATACTAAGCACATTTCAGCAGGACTTTTATATACTACCAAATATAAATTCAAACATATTTTTAAGGTATATAATTAGTGATTCTACTTGGTAGATCTTATCGATCAACAATGACAGTTTCCAAATTAGCCTATTCAAATTTCTTTTAAATCAAAATAATCTTGAGAACATGAAAGGTCTAATTGCCATGTTCCATAAAGTGAACATGGATTCAAAATAAGGTATCAAACAACTCCATATCTCCATCTATTCAAGATAACCTCATAAGAGGGAAATACATAAATAATTTGTTTAAAATTTGATTTATTTAATAAATTCAGTTTTTGAAGAAAATGAGTGATTATTGTTGTCTACCATTATTAAATTTAACATACTTTTCTTTCATCTTAATTTTTGGTTTTTAATCAGAAACTTGCAGTGGGCAAAATAATTAAGACTAAACTCCCCGTGAAACTCAAACCCATGTTCCTTTTTGCCTTGGGGAAGCTTTGATAACCATGTCAACTGCTCTTATCATCTGAGCTACAGGGAACTCTACAAATCTAATATTTTAAACTTGTTCTTCACTTGATCACTTACCATTATAGTTATTTTTTTTTTACATAAGTAGTTAAAATATTGATTTCTTTTTTTTCTTTTTAGATGCTGCCCTGTCAAATATGAATTTTGACTTGTATTCCTTTTTATGTTTACTATCTGAGTTACACTAGAAGTCACATTTTTTATTAATTCCAATTTGCATAGTTTGTTACTATAAACAAACAGTCCAAGAAAGTTGCAATTAAAAAGCAGATATTAAGATGAAAGAAAAATAATCATCAAAGTTTATAATGCTTGACCATTTATAAACTAAAATTAAAAATATTGTTGACTTGATAAGTTCATTTATGCAGTGTTGAATCTTTAATTCATTCTTTACATTTTAGTTTTTCTATCATACTCGCTATATAAAACTAAAAATGTTTAGAAAATTATTAATTCAAATTTTTTTTTTTTTTTTTTGGCATTGCAAATATTCATTTGTGGATATCGTTATTTTAGGAACTGCTGTTGGAGCCGTCTGTGCTCAAAGTATTGGCGAACCAGGAACACAAATGACACTTAAAACCTTTCACTTTGCTGGGGTGGCATCTATGAGTATCCTTTTTGTTTTTATTAGCAAAACTTAGAAAAATTAAATAATAGGATACATATTTCTGCCTGAAAAGGATGAAAGTAACCTTGAATAAAGCTTTTCGAAATCACAATTTAAATCTAAATAAATATTTTTGTTAATATTTCAAGGTTTATTCACATTAATATTTGTTAATGAAATATTGATTGGCTACAAATATGTTTTTAAAATTACTGTCATTTATTTCGTTTTAATACATATAGTTTTCTGAAATAATTCTAATATGAGAATATGCTCTTCTGTTTGATGTTCTGATTAGCAATAACCATAGATAATTTTTTTACTGCCTATTTTCACTGTATGATTATTAGCTTTGTTAGTACATAAAAGGATAATGATGCTGAACACCACCTATATAAATGTTAATGTGTCAAAACATTTGTTCAAAATGTATTATAGCTGTAGGCATTTAACTCTTAACAAAAAAATATTATTACTGTTTCTTTCTCATTCTGTTAAAAATTAATGAAAGTTTTAGAAACTTTGGGATACTATTTAAAAAGTGCATGTCTCTCAGTTACTAGGCTTCTTGAGGGAAATAAGTCTTAGTCTTGTAGATACAACACCAGAAAAAAAATCCACAATATTTGTTTATCAATACAGTTTTCACATCCCCCAAAAATTATGTCTAGAATAAAATAAAAAGAATTAAAAATTACTTGACATGGAAAACTACCCAATTCAGCATGAAATTACACATAAGGTTGATGTACCAATAAACACAATATCTTGTCTCACCTTTAGGAGTTACAGTTTTATGTTCCTAGTATAGAGAATAATAACTAACTTTAATACTATTTGCAAACTAATCTTAAGTGAAAACTAATTTTAAAACAGAAAACCACTTTTCCATTTGAAGTTAGGCATGTAACTGTAAAATCCGTGATACACTCATGGTATAAATAACTGAAATTTTTTGTAGCCCCTTTTCCCATTTTTCCTTAACTGCTTAGACATTACTCTTGGTGTGCCTCGTATTAAGGAAATCATCAATGCTACAAAGAATATCAGTACACCAATTATTTCTGCTCAATTGGAAGTTGACGATGACCCTGAAAATGCAAGAAGAGTTAAAGGTCGAATAGAGAAAACACTCCTTGGTGAGGTTAGTATATTATTTCTGTATTTTGAAATGTGATAGGAATTCAGCAAAATGTAGAAGAGTCTACATTTATTATAATAGTATTACTGACAACAGATTTCATAGTATGAGGGGTACTGAAATGTTCTTAGCCCTTCTCCCTAAAAAAATTTGATGTTTGATTATTTGGGAAGTATCTTTGGTCAAGAATTTTTGAATAGCCTATAGTACACATTAGTTAATAGTATATATATTTTTATGGTCCAGAAAAAACATTAATTCCAGTTTGAAATAGTAATTGATTAATTTTCCAGAACTTCATTTTTGTGAAAAATATTCCTCTTCTTCTCTGCCATTGTTTACAGTCAAATCATACTGAAAGCACTAGTTTCTTCCAGATCTCCAAAAGTTAAGCATTAAGTAGCCTGTTCATTACTTAGATGAGTAACCAGTAAGCAGCTCAAGGCCCGCATGCCCAATTAAAGAAATCTCAGTAAAGAAATAATTCTACTTTGCCATTCTTTGCTACTTTTAATCCTTGATAATTTTACTAAAAATTATAAAAAAAGGACAGTTTGCAGTAATGATTATTTTAAACAATGATATGGATGTGTATCTAGTATAATGGTTATTGGTGTGGAATTGGCATTCCAAGTTAAAATTTCTACCAAATTTGTTGTACTCACTTTCACACAAATACCCTTGAGAAAGTTATGAATACATCTCTTCTCTTTCCAGCCATGGATTAAATAGCAGGGCAGACTGAACTCTTCTAGCATTGATTGGCAACAAATCTAGGACTAGGATAACTTTGAATTCAAAACCAGTTGGACATGGGGCTGTCTGCTCCACTCTGTAAAAACCTATTTGCTACAGAATACACAGCTACAAACTGTGGCGAGTCTGTGGTCTTAACATAGTGAGGTTGTTACCCTATTCTTTACAGGGGAAGGGAACTAAGGATGAGGATAGAAACAGAAATAGTCTTATCCTTTTTGTCAGTGCCCCCAAATTATTGGTCTTATGATTTCTGTAGATGAGACAGCACATTAATTAAAATATTTTTCTTTGTTAATTGTTTTATAAATTCTCTTTTTCTTTGTAAAGGTTTCAGAATATGTGGAAGAAGTTTATCTGCCAGATGACTGCTTTTTACTTGTCAAATTGGATCTTGACAGAATCAAACTTCTTAAGGTAGATAACAATTTCTAGAAAATTCTCTTTAAATAAAAACAAAATGGGGTTTTGATTATTTACCTTAATTTCATTACCCATTATGATGCAAAAACCAGTGACAGATGATAGTTTTAAATTCTTTTTAGTTAGATACAAGATTTGCATATTTCTGTATAATTTTTTTTTTTAACCAGGCTTTTGAGATCAGCTTGCTAATCACTACATTTAGTGATTATTTAGTGAGCTGATCTCAAAAGTATGAACTATGAATTTAGTCTTTACTCATTGGAATATATAGGTATATGTCAAATGTAGTTTAGTTTAAGTTGGGTTTTATTTAATTTAATAAAGAGATAATGTAATTTTATGAAAACTTTTCTTATTTAAGTTGAACTTTCCTGATAGTGAACTAACAAACCTCTGAATCTGTAAATTAATTATAACTAATTTTTGTTTGTGACTGTACATCTTGTAAGTGAAATGAATTTAGAAACAAAAGCTTTACATGTTCTATTGATGTTGTCTATTAAACTGTCATCTGATAATATGTATTAAATATCATCATACCATTGAGAGAAAAATTACAATTAATAATTATAGAGATAAAAACTATTTCTTTACCTCTTTAGATATTAATTTTATATTAAATAATTATTTTTGTTAATCAAAGCTTTACTTGTTTCAATTTTTGACTTTGTTCTAATATTTATTTTATTCTTTACCAGTTGGAAGTGAATGTTGACAGCATTGTTGATTCCATCTGTAACTCCAAATTGAGAATCAAAAGAACAGTTAGTATATAACACATTTTTGGAAAATGTACTCTAACCATTTTTTTCCTATTTTAATAAATTTAATTTTTTGTATAATTAATTTTAAAATTTTGTTTCGAGTTTAAAAATGGAATTGTAGCAAAGAAACCTAGCATAGAATGTTATATGAATTTTTCTTGTCAATTTTGTATGTCGATTAATCCTTATTAACGCAGTACCATTTTTAAATCACTAACAATAGTTACGGTTCCAACTAAGTGCAGTTGGATGTTCTATCAACATTGTTTCTAGACTTGTTATACTTGTGGATAATTTAAGTTATTAGGATATATCAAAAGTAGTTTTTATTTTTACAAATTTTTACTATTGTTTTCTATTCACATCTAATAAATTTTTTCATCACAAATTGAACAGTGCTATATCCAAATTCCCTTCAGTCAACAGGTTCAACATAATACCACTATTTAATATAACATAAAAAAAGAAAAATTTTGCTTGCTTGATTACACTGGCCTGTGATGTTTTCAAGGTCAAATATATAATAGCTGATTTTAAGGTAGTTTTTTTTACACTGAATCCAAAATTCATATTCATTTTTTTTTTAACCAGATCAAATTTTTAAGATACAAACTCTTACTTGAAATATATAGGACAGTATTATGACATAATTTTCTTGTTGAATTAAACAAATAATGCTAAATTTAGTGCTGGTATATTCACAGAAAGTTCATATTGTGCCATAGTAAACTGCAAAATACCCAAAAGAAGCTATCTGTCTTTTTAGGGACATCTCGTTTCAAGCCCCAGCAGTAGTCAGCAAGAAAGTTTACATCCCACTGGCCTTGGTAGCGCTCTTCCATAATGCAAATGTCTTGGTGAATGTCTTGCTCTTCACTCAAATCTCCACAGTTCTTTGGAAAATAGTCCAAGTGTGACCCCCAGAAAGTGCAGTTTGACTGACATTCGTTCCCTGTGTCGGGGGAAACTCTTCAGTAGCCCTTCAATTTCCTTCTTGTATTCTGCACTCTGGTGATTTACCAGGAAGTTTGTAATTACTGACTTCAATGACTGCCAGGCAGACAGTTCAGCTTCGCTCAGTGCTTTGTCAAACATTGGGTCCTTCATGAGTTCTTTTGAGGGCCGTCAAATATACCAACCTTGAGTTTATCCATGGGAAGTTCTGGATGAAAGCAAACTCACTGCCTTCCCTGTTCATTGACTTCACAAAGTTCTTCATTGATGTGTAAGGGTGGAAGCAGTATTTTGTTCGGTTCAATGAGACTGAATGCAAGCCAGGTTTTAACCCTTGTCTTAATGGCCACACTTGTCTGACATAATGTTGGTCATCAGCCTGGCTGTGCCAGAGTCACAGAAAACAAGGACACTTTGTGTACCCACCTTGGAGCCCTAGGACCAGTCCAACCACCGTAAGATCTCCACAGATCAACCATTTGTGCTCCTGGTAGTTAACAGCAGACAAATGACCGATGATGTAAGTTTCTTTCATTTGTACTGAATGCTCAATAGGGATAGATGAAGAGCTATTCCCATTATGCAGAAGAACTTTTTTGAGATTTCTGCTGGATGAGTCAATGAAATGTCTCCATTCCGTAGCATCATACTTGAAACCCATTGATTTGATCAATCCAGCAATGTTGTTGCAATAAACCAATGATGACTTATCCTGGAACATGAAAAACTGTCTTAATTCTCTCCCACAGTCTCAATACCAGTAGAACGTTGTTCCTGGTGCCAACAGATCTTTCTCTTTGAGATGTGAATCCCAGTAGCTGAAAGGTTCATGTTTTGTGTCAGGTCATTGAGTTCTGTTTGTGTCAAAGGTACTTGCTGGTTGTCCTCTTCTCGCTTGTGTGCATCATTCCCAGCTACAACAGTCATGTCACTATGTTCAGAATCAGAGCTATATTCCAAAAGGAAGGTCTGGGCCATGAGGGATTGGTCTTGTAGCAGAAGGAACATTGGGGTATTGGATGTGATGTTAGGAAGAACCACGCTACTGCAGATATAACAGAACCTGTCAGGATTATTCTTGTACTTGTGATCCATTCTTACAGGAATACAAATGTCAAGCTGAAAAGTGAAAAACTAAATCAGCACTCAGCACGTTGTTGACACTTGTCACAGTACATTAAAATCGTTTTAAGTTGAGGGATAAACCCCACTCTAGGTATGTGACTGTTAATGATTAGGGTGGTACACTGTAGTTAGGTACATATACAGCATGCTATATTAAACATCAGGCACCCACGATCAGCTCTGACAAGTAGTCCACAGGCTTTTGAATAAGTGTTATTATTGTGAACAACTTGTGAAGTATTCAAGCACATCTTAAAAACCAGACCTGACCAAATACAATAAATGGTATTTTTGAATTCAGCAGAAAATGGCAATCATATATCACTTGATAAACCTTTGACCTTTGGTAGGGGAGAAACTTTTAACACAGGCCAATGTTATCAATCTTTATTGTCCACGCAGTCTTTTTTTTTTTTTTTTTTTTTTTAATATATTCCTCATTACTTATCTCTGACTCTTTCTTTCTTTATTTAACTTCCCATTTCTGCTTATGTTTTTAGATATTTTTTCTGTACATATTATTTGAGAAAATTTTTTTTTTCTTTCAGCAAATTCAAACACACAGTGCATCAGTGATCACAATCTCTCCTCAGGAAACTTCCAAAAGTTCCCTGTATTATGTGATGCAAATGTTGAAAAAAGAAATTCCTGAAGTCATGATAAAGGTATGATTCTTTTTCTACAAATTGTTTATAATACTATACACATTCGTTTTTTTTATCATTCTTTTGAGGAATGTGCTTTCTATCTTTCTACCGTTATATAAGGGATGTGAATTAAAATTTTGCTGGAAACTTTCTTGCTGCTTGCTTAACAATAAAGAATAATAACCTGTATAAAAAAAAGCAACAAAAATAAATGAAAGAAAAACTACACAAAAATGAATGATAATGCTATGTTTAACCCTTTTAAGTCAGAAGCATCCAAATACACCCATAAGTTTCATATGCTTACAGTTGGAGGGCATCTGAATGGGCCTGCAACTGAGTATCACTGTATTTCAATACATAGCATTAACACCCATCACATGGTCAAGTCTTTTGTCCAGTCACCTTTGTCAAGCCTGTTGTATTGAAGAAAGAATGAAAAATGTGTTCTTGCAAAATATAAAGAGGGTATCTAAATGTAACTGTGTTCCAAGATGATTGTGTCCACACACACATAAGGTGCTATGGCTGCAGTACATGTGGTGCTCCTATGACTCCAATGGGAGATGGAACTTGTAACATGTTGAGATTCTACTGAGGTTGAGGGTTTTCCTGGAGCTAACCTTTATTTTCTTTTGTTTTGGATTCTTGTAATAAATACATTTTTCATTGCCAGTAACAATCTATAAATAAAATGACTGTTTCCTGTGTTGCTCAAGAAGAGAAAAAGAAAGTGTTTAAGTGTGACTTATACACCTTTCCATAAATTCTGGTGAACCTTTTTTTTTTTTTTTTCAATTCATTTTCTTATCTCCTGAATATTTTCTAAGTAGTTGATTAATTCAGTTCTAAATTTATCTCCAAGTTTTGATTTACACTGCATGATCAAAAGTTCTTTCAATCCATCAGCATTTAAACTCTGACATCTTCCACAGTATTCTTTGTTCTTGAATTCAAAATACTTTAAACCTCACAAACCATTCCTGAAACATACTTGTAAATGAATCTTTACTGTAAGCTTCAGTCATCCACACACAAGCTGTAGTGATCGAGATAATGCTTACACTTCAAGCTATTTCGGCCTTGTTCTGCTGGGATCTGACCAGCTGTATGTCTACGGATAAGTGGTATTCACTTACCAACTTTCCCAGTGTGTCTAGCCTCCTTCGAATGAGCATCTCGGTCGCAGCCTTTGTAACGTATCCAGCCTTCCCCGTAAGAGTGTCTGATATCCACTTATACACGCATGCGGAATCCGTGAATAAATGCAATACCTTTGCATTCCATTGAGGGGGCGGTGACTCCCTAATAACGGCATCTAATTCTGACAGGTTGATATGTTATTGTATCCTTCTCTTGGCGTATCCTTCCACGACAGTGTCACCTACTTCAAGAGACACTCCTGTTGTAAGGGAGCTCGCGTCGACCCAGACGTTAAATTCACATCCGTCAACGCACCACATTTGGTACGACGGGTCGTTTTGACGCACCCTAGTAATGACTTCCGCTATCATGTGTCTAAGGGAGCATCATTGGTTGTGTCATCCCAGCCGGAAGTGACAGCAGTCACCTGACGTTTAATAAAATGCAGTTGTATGCGGATCCACTCGCCCACGGGAAAATGTCCCACCAGCTTTCCACATAACAAAACACGCTGCGTCGGGTCATGTGTTTGGGAATGTCCGGGAGCTTCGCTTCCACGTTTCCAGTACAGCATGTTGTGCTCCCCCAGACCTGCAAGCCGAAAGCACCCGAGCACCATCCTCCAGTCGTTCTGGGTTTTTACATTCGAGCCCAAAGTCAGCAAGATGCTTTTCACCTGTGAAGCAGGTACTAAGGTTTCGTTGATGTAGATGTCGTCAATGTAGGCTGACGCCGCTTGATTTAATTGTCTCATCCTGGGATAGCACAGCATCCACGATGGCTTTCATGATGGCCGGCGCCACATTGAGTCCGAATCCCATTCAGGTTAAGCAGTACCTCGTCCCATTAAGGATCACCGTCTGAAATGGCCACAGTGACCGGTGCACGCACGCCTGCAAGTAGGCCTTCAAGGTCAATCACAGAGACATTGGATCCCTTCTGTTCGCCATTCTCTCATTTTTGCACACACATCAGCATGAGCTGTGTATGTGTCTACATGTTCGTTCAGTTCTCTATAATCTAGTACAGGGCGACCTTTCCTTGTTCTTTTGTACCACGGCCATCAACGGATGAGGCCTCTTGGAAGACCAAGCTCTTCCTCGATATGGAGTCAGCCATCCGTTATCCAGCCACACCTGCAATTCGCGCGCTGGTATTCTTCCTGACACGTCTTCGGGCACCGAATATTCGGACACTCGGTTCTGGAGTTTTTCTGGTGGGTTATTTTCCGACCATTTCCAAAATGCTGTCCATGTCTTCGTCCTTTGGTCGAACTCTGCGCTAAAGTCGGGTTCGTTGATCTTCAAAGTAGCACAGATGGGCGGATCAGAAAACTTGACTTCGCCTGCCTCTGTAATGCGTACGCCACCCAGCTCCTTAATAATGTCCATCCCAAGGAGCAGATCGAAACCTCAAAATATAACACACAATCTCCTCCAACAGTTGCCCCGCTCCAGAGAAGCTTAAGAATAAAGAGTTTGATGCCCATGAGTGTCACTTATGTGACGGGGGAGTGTAGTGAACGAGATAATCAAGTACCCCGGAAAAAGTTTGTGTTTTGTGTGTGATTTGGGGAAGGATTGCCAAAAAGTAGTCAGCAAAACTCTTATAGCGACTTACCTCGTCAACCCAAGCGACAAAGCGTATGCGTGTATTCTGTCGAAAAAAAAGAAACAAGTCCATCGCAGGAGTCGCTATAAGAGTATATTAATATGCAAATTACGGGCATCCTATCCCGGCTGTCGATTTAATGGAAAAAATAGGTTCTGCCGATAAAAAAGCAGTTGGTGTTGTCGACTGGGAAGGAAAATTCACGGGCAGTTTTACACGGCGTTCGTGAGTTATTTTCCTGCATTGCGTTACAAGTGATTTTCTTTCTTTCTTTGTGTTGTGAAAGCCACAAATTTGCTTTGAGAACGCTTACACTTCATTAACTGCATTTTTGTTTTATGAATAATAAGAGGTTTCAAATGTACATCTTATAATCAACCAATACTTTTTCACCAAAATAAAGTAAAATTATCACTTTTTGCTCCCATAATGATCAGTTGCACTCTCCAGTTATGACAGACAATTACACTCTCAGTGAGGTTCTTTGGTCTCAAGTTCAATCCAGACCTAAAATCTAACTCTTTAAAATCTAACTCTTTAAAATCTAACTCTTTAAAATCTAACACTTTAAAATCTAACTCTTTAAAATCTAACTCTTTAAAACTCTTTCTAACTCTTTAAAAACTAACTTTAAAATCTAACTTTTTAAAATCTAACTCTTTTCTAAAAATCTAACTTTAAAATCTAACTCTTAAAATTAACTTTTAAAATCTAACTCTTTAAAATCTAACTTTAAAATCTAACTCTTTAAAAATTAACTCTTTAAAATCTAACTCTTAAAAAATCTAACTTTAAAAAAACTTTTTAAAAATCTAACTCTTTAAAATCTAACTCTTTAAAAAATTAACTTTTTAAAATCTAACTTTTAAAACTCTTTAAAATCTAACTCTTTAAAATCTAACTCTTTAAAATCTAACTCTTTAAAAAATTTAAATCTAACTCTTTAAAAATCTAACTCTTTAAAAAACTCTTTAAACTTTTAAAATCTAACTCTTTTTCTAACTCTTTAAAAACTAACTTTTAAAAAAATCTAACTTTAAAATCTAACTCTTTAAAATCTAACTCTTTAAAATCTAACTCTTTAAAATTAACTTTTAAAATCTAACTCTTTAAAATCTAAACTTTTAAAATCTAACTCTTTAAAAAAATTTAAATCTAACTCTTTAAATCTAACTCTTTAAAAATCTAACTCTTTAAAATCTAACTCTTTAAAATCAACTCTTTAAAAATCTAACTTTAAAATCTAACTCTTAAAAATCAACTCTTTAAAAATCTAACTCTTTAAAAAAACTCTTTAAAATCTAATCTTTAAAAATTAACTCTTAAAAAATCTTTAAAACTAACTTTAAAATCTAACTCTTTAAAAAAATCTTTAAAATCTAACTCTTTAAAATCTAACTCTTTAAAATCTAACTCTTTAAAATCTAACTCTTTAAAATCTAACTCTTTAAAATCTAACTCTTTAAAATCTAACTCTTTAAAATCTAACTCTTTAAAATCTAACTCTTTAAAATCTAACTCTTTAAAATCTAACTCTTTAAAATCTTTAAATCTTTAAAATCTAACTCTTTAAAATTAAAATTTTAAAATTCAACTCTTTAAAATCTAACTCTTTAATCAAAAGATGCTGGAAAAGTGGTCAGCTCATTCTATCACTTCAAGAAGTACCTGACTAGACCAAAAATCAGAGTATTGCTGCCATATCTGGGCTAGAACTTTTCATTTCTGGTCTTCCAGTCTTGATAGAGTTCAAAATCATTGACATGGTCTTATAGGGAAAGTCTTATTCTCAACTTTGTAGCCTCTTTCCCATAGATGCAGCATCACAAATCTACCACTACTCTCTTGCTATTTCCATGGCAAATGTTCAGATGAGCTCCGTTCTTTAGTTCCACATGTTACTTCCATAGAGTCAAATCCCCTTCTTTTCCTCTGTATTTCAAATGTGAGGAGAGTTTTATTCAGCATTTTCCTAAGAATTGCTTCTTTGTGGAACCAATTCTAGTGAGGATGCTTCCCTAAACACTACATTCTTAACCTCTTCAAATTAAGAGTCACTTATAATCTATCCACCTTATACTCATAATCTTCATTTCCTACCACATCCTCTTTCATTTACACCATGCACCTCCTTCATCATGACCTCTTTAACAGTAGCCCTGAGTGGCTCCCAAGACTTGTATTGGGTGAAGTTTATTTTTTTTTTAAATCACACAATAGAACTGAGTAAATGTAAGACATTTTTAGTTTTATTTAACATTGTACAAATGATTGTGTTGAGAGCTTTTGATAAAAGCAATATTTTTGTATTTAGTTTGTACAATTTGAAGATATTTAAAACTCTAAAACAATTCTTGTTAAAAACTTTCACTTCTACTTTTTGTTATGACTACTCATTTTTTATATTCAACCTTTACTACTGCAGGTAAGTTGTTTTTATGAATGTTCACTACATTTGGGAGAAGGAAATCTATTATAATTTTACTGAAATTTTATATTTTGTTTAGGGGATTCCTTCAGTAACAAGAGCTGTCATTCACCAAGATGAAAAGAAGGCAAATCACTACAAATTGTTAGTTGAAGGAGACAATCTTAGAGCTGTCATGGCTACTCCGGGTAATTGTCATCATCTTTATTGTATATTCAAACTAATTTATCATGTTTATAAAAGAGCTAACCAATGCCACTTTTTTTTCTCTTAATAATGAAAAAACATTGATTGTATGTGTATAGATTTATTGTATTAAAATGTATATTAAATATTTCTTTAAGTGACATGTCTCTTCAGAATATAGTTTCATCTCCATGTTCATCATAACCAATTTAATAGTAACACTCTACCTTGTGTGGTTCTCAATCCTTTTATTAGGTGAATAGTATAAAAAAAATATGTAAATTATTATAGCTGCTTGTGAGAAAAGATAGTGTTTTTTTTCTTTCCATTACTTTCTCTATGAATCTGGAGTTTTTCTTCAAGACTGATTGCTAAGCAAAGCTAGAGATCCCAGTCTTCTTTACTATTTAAACCATAGAAATGAATTCATGCTTTCCTGAGGGTATTTGTATTGAATGAACAGAATGTTTCAGTCAGAATTTGAACTCTGCTTGCTGATTTCATTTTCTGTGCAGTTAACTGTTACGGCATTTGTAAGTTCTTTTACGAAATTGTTTCTGTTTATGCATTCTGCTTATTTTTTCCATTGCTATACATAGAAAAAAGGACTTAAATATAATTTATCAAATATGAAAGCTACAGATAAAACCTAAAAATAAACTTTGTATTAAGCTTTTAACCAGTTGATATATTTTTAAGTAGATACTTGTCTTTTTTTGTGTTGAATCTTCCAGATAAAATGAAATATAATAATCGAATGAAACAGTTTCCCTTGAAATGTTTCTAAACTTTGCCTTGGAGATCAATGTACATGGAATTTATCCAAATTCAATATCCTGTTCAAAGTGATTCACTTCTTTCAAAATGATATCTTAACTATATCTAGAGATGAACTAATTATCAATATGAGGGTGTGCTCAAAGGTTATTTCTCCTCTCCATCCACTCCCCAAATTTGGTCAAACATCAGATTTTTATTCATATTTTTTGGATGGGCTTCTTTGTCACTTTTAGAACACTTCAGCACCCCGTCATAGATAAATATGAAAAAAATATGTAGATGTGCATATGTGTTTGTACATATATACTTATATATACATCATTAAGCTTGCAGCCTAATGATGAGAAAAAATTGCTTTTATGCAACAAATATTTATTTTTTAACTTAATCCCCTCCTTTTGAAATGCACCTACTTCAATGTTCAATATTAGTCATTATACAATGAATATTTCAGATAATTCTGGCTAATAAGTACATGTCAAGCTATAGGTTTATTGATCAGATTATATATAGTCCTTCTTGTTCAGACTATTCAGCACTCTTTATATATATATATATATATATATATATATATATATATATATATATGTGTGTGTGAATATGCATAATATCTAATGTTGATATCACAACTCTTCAGGTGAATATGCTCCGAATCTGAAGATTGCAAGAACTGCATGAAACACCGAGTCGTGATTTCAACATTAGATATTATGTATATTCACTATTATATACTTATAGCTCTGTCACATAACATTGAGCACTGTATTTATAACACCTGAGGTAGAAATATACATGTGTGCAAGTAAATGTGTGCATATGTACATTTTTTATCATACCCATACCTATAGGATTAATAGAAATAAAATTTGTCAATTGGCTGATTGATGTTATATTCAACACCTTGACTCCAGAGTTCTGTAGACAAACCTTTTTGTAATTCTTAAATTTGGGAAGTTTCAGTAATTGACTGTAGATTTTTCTAATTTTCGTTATTTTTATACTAAGTTAAAAATTAATTGATGTGCTAGTTATTGGTGTTATATTGTTTAATAGATGGGTAAAAGTCGATCATTGAAATTAGTCAAAAATGTCATTTTTAATATTTGCCTTTTTATATATATATATATATATATATATATATATATAAGGAAGTGCTGAATAGTTCTCACTCTGAGCAAGAAGGGATTTAAAATATGTATTTTGTCAGATTATGCAAAGCTAGTCAGGGAGCTTTTTACTATCCTCCTCAATACTCTTTTTTTCCTCTCTCTCATATATATATGAATAACAAGTATATTAACTAGATTTCACTGTTAAACCACTTGTCCAAAATAATTCATTAATAGCTTAATGAATCACTTTTGAGAAAAGTGAATTAAACAAAAACAAACCTTTTGAATTCAATATAAAATATATCCTTTTAATAATAATCATAGGTTTTATAAAAAATTCATTTGGAAAACAAAAAAGAAAGAGATTGAATTGTCTGTCTTCAAAACAGTAAGAAAACTCGTGAAAGCATAACTAAAATTTAAAATCGAACAGTTAAGCAGTTTATCCAAAGAAAACTTTATTATACTCTGATCTGTTGTAGCTTTTATCAGTGTATTTCGTACATTTCTGGGAATTTCAAACTAAACTTTTTATCACTCTATTGTTCTCTTTTTACTGTCCATATTAAGGGGGATAACTCGTAGTTAATCTGAGTGATGTTACTTTTATTTGTTATTGAGAAGCAAAGAATATGAATTTTAATGCTTTTATCCACTGTCCCATACAGAATTTTAATGCTTTTATCCATTGTCCCATACAGTTGAATGTATCTCATGTACCTGGTGGTTACCAGTTCAATCTCATGCTTTGGTTCAGTGAAGAACAAAAATGAGATAAAAAACATTAACAAGGTATTCCATTGTATAAACAATAAAATTCATTTTGTTTAAATAAAGTGCCTGGTTCCAAATTCACAAAAGTCTACAAAATATAGCAGACAGTTAAGGAATCCTGGAGTGCATAGTGTCTGAAAAATATGCATCTTGAAAATTCAGTAGAACTTTTCAATATTTCCCTGTGTACAATGAAGAGAACAAATTGTATCTGGTGGGATACAATGTCTTCTTACCTTATTGATCAAACACATGCAGCAAATATTCAGATGGTCAAATTCTATGATTTATAATTATTTTTTATTTAATCTAAAGCAATGGTTATTTTTATAACTATAGGTGTTGATGGTGGCCGTACCACTTCAAACAACACTTGTGAAGTGGAGAAGACTCTTGGCATCGAAGCAGCACGGACAACCATCATTGAAGAAATTGTATATACCATGGTAAATCATGGTATGAGTATTGATATACGTCATGTTATGTTGCTGGCTGATTTGATGACTTGTCGAGTAAGTTATTTTTTCTTTTTAATATCAAAGATAGTTTACTTAAAATGTATGGTGAAAAGAATTTTTTATTTAATGTTTTGGGAAAAATTAGTTTATTTGTAGAGTGAGGAATAGTTTATTGAATGTGTTTATGTAAACAAAATATTATGATGTACACAAAAGGTCAAATGTTACTCTAAATTGGCTTTCATAATATAATTGTATATATCATAAAATATATATAAAATCATTTAGTCATCTGATCAGATTTTGGGAAGTTGGTTGGACTGAGAACTTTTCAGGACCACCTCATAAACTAAATTTGTTGAAATCATTTGCACAAAATTTATATTTTGTTGAATGACACTAAACACTACAGGATTTAAGGGAAGTAGCATTTTTTATGTTTTCATTGAATTTTAATTACTATCATTAAACCAAGTTTAGTACAAGGTCACATTTAAAGATTCGAATGTTTTCTGTTGCAGTAGAATATTTTTTCATATGTTTGTAGAATCAGTAATAATATAAATGTCAATTGTCATTTTTCTTTTAGGGAGAAGTCCTTGGTATCACCCGCTTTGGTTTGAGTAAAATGAAGGAGAGTGTTCTTATGCTTGCTTCTGTAAGTAACAGAAATTTTCTATCACTGTTTATATGTACAACGGCAAATTCTAAGTTCATTTTTATGCAGTAATGTTGTCTTGTGTTTACTTTTGTTTTAATTTTCTTGTTTTATCATGTTTACTTAGACTGTTGATCAAGTTCTCTCTTTGCTTCATTGAATGCACCATCTGCTTTAATTGAATGAGTTGTGACTTGCAGAAAATCAAATTTAATGGTATTATATCCAGATTTATCACCCCCCCCAATACTTAACTTTTAATAACTCTGATGAGAGAAAATCAATAAACTGGTTATGCTACCTTTTTGTTAATTGTATTTTGATATTATCACTTTATGGCTATGTAAAAGTTTTTGTTACTCCCTCTTTTTTCTAAGTCTTTCCTCTTGTTGTTTTGACTTGTCCATTTTAAATTTGGTGCCTCCATTAAAATATTTAATAACTTTTAACAGTAATTTTAACATTAGTAACATACAAGAAGCAGTGTTATTTTATGCAACTTTATTAGAAAACTATAGAACATAAAAACCAGAATAAAAAATATCTTCATCTTGAATGAGACATGGCTGACTGATTCAAACTGGGCCTATTTCAGATAAAATTAATTTGAATTTTTGTCTGTCTACATATAGGCATACTTTAATTACTTTTAATTAGTATTTACACTATTTATATTGTTCAGACTATTGCCCTCATCTTTATTGTAATATTCACATTTCAGCAATTGTATGCTCTGGCCTTCTTCAGGTGATATACACTGGAATTTTGAACTAAACCCTTTAATTCCATCCAGCAGGGTAGATTGTTCTAGTTCCACATGCCATGCCTTTTCTGGACACGTCATGAATATGACAGTAAAGATGAGAACAACAGTCCAAACAATTTAAATAGTTACAATACCTCATCTAAGAAATATAGACAGATTTTAATTTGTAGTGGTAATAAAATTTGTTTGGCTCCTTATCCTTGTGAATTTTTTTTCTTTTCCAGTTTGAAAAAACTGCTGATCATTTATTTGAGGCTGCATTCCATGGACAAAAAGATGCCATTACAGGTTTGTTTATTTAATGCTAATAGTGTTATCAGCCTGTTCCTGATAAGGAAATATTTTCGGCATTCATTGTTATGAAATTTTCCGCTTAAAATAATAAAACATTTTCTCTTGTCACATTTCTATATTTTCTTTCACAAATTTTATTGGTATAAGAAAGAAAGTCACATTAAAGAAATATAAATGTAACTTTTATCATAAAGGGGAAACTACTGTAGCAACTATTTCGGTATCAAAAAGCTGTTAATACTGGTTATAACATTGTTGCCTGGCTGTGCTGGCCTGTTGTTGGGGGTGGAATAGAAAATTGCCATAAATGACTATGAAGATACTGATGGCAATTTCTCATGGGCACTACCATTTTTTTCAATCTGCAATACAAATTAAAAACATAACCACTCCAACACGATATAAAAATATTCCATAAAACAAGTTGTATTGTACACTAAGTGCTTGATAGTTTATAATATATATGCTGGGGAATGACATTTCATAGTGCCTTGAAAACACACACACCTATACATATATGAAGAAAAATAGTTTTAATGTATGCTATATTTATAGGATAAAGTGCTCAATATCAGAGATAGAGCATATGTAGATATAAAAGTGATTGAAGTCAACACTTAGAGGTGACACTGTTTCATGCTAAACACAATCATCAGGCCTGATGATCGCATTTAACATGAAAGTTTGTTGACTCAAGTGTTGATTTCAATTATAATCTTTACATATATAAAAGGCAGTTGTCTGTCTGTATGTGTGTGTCTGGCTAAAACTAAAAAATTGCAGTAATTCATGACATAGTAAATATATATACAGACTCATTATCATCATATGATTTGTATTTATGAAGATATTTTAAAATTAAAATGCATTAGAATGCATTTGAAATTCTCAATTAAAAAGTAAAAAACAAATGGAAACGATTCTTATTCCTGATTAGGTTTACCATTCGTTTTTACTTTTTTATTCTGTTGATATTTTTGAAATGCTATACATGTATGTATTTTTAAAATTTCTATTCTCTCAAATTTATTTTCACATCTATAGTAAATAAAAATGCATCTTTAAAAAAATGAATATTAAAACAACAAAGTAAATTTAAAAGAAGAATATTAAATACAATTATTTGATGAAAAGTTTAATATTTATTTATTTATTCAAATATTTGTGTTTTTTTATTTAAACTTTAAAAAAATAAACCTCATTGTTTTTTGGTTTGTAACTAACAAAAAAGTAAATAATTTTCAATTAAGTTTATTAAAGCCAAAAAAAAAAAACTATGGTGAGCCTTATTTTTCAAAAACTTTTAAATTTGTAAAACAAATATTCAACATGACTAATGTTGACTGTAAGTAATGTCTATTTCTCCTAATTTTTATTTAAAGTTTTTTTCTTTTCAAATACAAATATTACTTGAAATTTAAAAATAATTGATTTTCAAAACTAAATTCTCAAGGTCTCTTGCTTCTACTCTTTCATGTTTAAAAGTAAATAAAATAAATAGTAAATAATTAGTTTTTTTATTCCATCCAGCAGGGTAAATTGTTCTAGTTCCACATGCCATGTCTTTTCTGGATACAGCATGAATATGACAGTAAAAATGATGCTCAGACCCTTAACAGCCCCCATGGTATTGGTAGTGTGGTATTTTCCTAAATTTAGTTATTTTGTAACAAACCAAAAAAAAAACAAACAATGAAGTTAAAAAATTATTTGAATTAAAAATTAGTTTGGCTGAAAAATATCAATAAATTGTCAGATAAACTATTATTCAAAGATCTTCTGAGCAATGATGGGTATCCTCGCTAGTGTGTGTGTGTATATATATATATATATATAAGCAAGCAAGGTAAGTTTCATATAGATGTATGAGTTTGTCCCCACCAGAAGTGTTTAGTTATGATAATGAGAAGATATTATATTAATGTATGAAGTTTTTCCTGACATCTCTCTCTCTCTATATATATATATATATAAAATGTATGTCATAGTAAAGATTGTCCACATTGCTTTGTATAGTTATTAAATATTTTAATGGTAGCACAAAATCTGATAATAGTGATTAAAAAGGACATATAATCGTAGGCTATTGAAAGAATAATGAAATAATATTGATAAAACCAATAATATTTATTGTATATTAGTTGGCTTTTTGACAAAATGAAAGCATGATAAGAAAGACGTTAAAAAATCTGAATTTTTGGACACACCTTTCTGAATGAGAAATAAAAAATAAAGTTAGTATTTTTGGGCTAGTTGTTTGCCATAATCAGGGTTTGTAGATTGCTCATAGATTTACATTGTTTAATAAACAGGAATGTCTACTCAAACACATGTATCCACTAAATATATTTACCACACAAGCACCACTACTCTGTTTACAAGGTCTGATTATATGAATAATGTTTTTCATTATCATAAAGTACTTAATCTAATGTTATATATGACATATATACTTTATGATAATGAAAAACAATGTAAATCTGTCTACTGGTTTGTGCATTTGACAGGCTTAAGAAAATGTACCTTCTGACAGTTGCTCAAGCATGCATCCCTGTTGTAGAGGAATCAAATTATAAAACCTGGCATGCTTTTAGAGCACTCAGCCAGGGAAGACTCAGAGTCAGTTTAATTATCCTATTTAAGAAATGTGCATTTCTTGTTCCGATCTCTTGAAACTCATACCTGCTAACTTTTTATTTTCAAACAACATACATATATATTTTCAGTGTTCTTATCTCCTTTTTGTTGATAATGTTGAAAAATGTCAGAATATTCCCCCCACCCAAATAAATATAAAAATATGCATATTTTATTATATATCAACACTAGAAGGAATGAAAATCTTGTCCAGTGGAATTCATATTTGTCAATTTATTTATTACTTTACATGGCATTAAAAACAAAACTAAATTTATTTGTAACCCTGAAATTTATAGAACTTGTTTTACTTTTTCAGGTGTCAGTGAGTGCATCATTATGGGGATTCCAATGAGCATCGGCACTGGAGTTTTTAAACTCTTATACAAATATCCTTTTATTTTCTTTTTTTTCCAACATTAATGTTCAGGTTTCCATCTAGTTTCATTTAAGCTTTTTATATATATATATATATATATATAGTCATCAATACAATGTTTCAGTAATTCTACTTTCTAGCCTTCTTAGGTATCCATCATGGTTGGTAAATTAGAAATTTCAAGCCAAACTCTTTATTCTATCCATTGGTATAGATTGTTCTCATTCAACTGTCTGTACTAGCAGAAATCTTGTTTCTTGTGATGTCTACTTGTCTCTTCCCTAGAACATGTCATTTTTGCACTATCCAAATCAAAGTTTGAACTCCTGATAGATAACAGATGCAAATTAAAAAAAAAAAAAATTCAGAATATTTAAGCAGTATTTTTACTTTCTTTTAGATAAAACATTGTCAGCTGTTATTAATTTTTGGCTCTTATTGACAATCATTTTTGTTTAAGATGAAAATTAAAATTTAATCATCTGTAAAACTTTTTGGTGATTGCAAGTCTAACCTTGGGCACTTTTCTGTTTCTGCTGCTAGGAGTCAATGTTAGGATAGACAACCAAATGTTGCTTGTAAAAACAAAGTTTAATTGTTGCTAGTTTCAATTACCAAACAACTGGAATTCTTAAATATTGACATCATTCATGCCACACCACAAAAACAATATTAGTGACTAGTAAGTTGGTTCACAATTCACAGAACTTGCAGCATCTTCCTTGGTACATGGCTTCTAACTGCCCAAGAATCAAAGTTGGCTTGCTTGTATTAACAAAATCTAGTGTGGCTGGTCTGGGCTTAAATTAGAATGTTTTGATAATCAAATTATCTCCCTCTCAATTAGCTGCCAAGTGTAGATTCACTTGCTTGTAAAATCCACACTCGTAATTGTTACACAAACGATTCTCATAAATTGTTTCTGATCACAGCTACTTTTTCTTTAACTAATTCCACAGCTCAACATCCCCCAGTTCCTGTCCGGCGACCACTGATCTTTGAGTGTTCAGATTTACACACACCAGAATCACAATTATGATATGTACAAAATTGCTTATGAATTAATAAATTCTCTTTTATATTTCTCAAACTTTCATTTAAGTTTATTTTTATTGAACAAATGTCCTTTCCACCTTTCTCAGCAAAAAACTGTTCTAGATTCTCTTTGCAGTATTCCAGCAAATTGTATTTTTCTAATTAATAGAATTGTGAAATGATTGGTCAGGTGACATGAAGGGGGAGCAACATTCTATGAAGATTTGAGTGCTACAGAGTTCTTGGCTTTTCAGTGAACCAAAATTATTTTTCTTTCTTTTGGTAATTTAGATTCATGCTATCAAAATCTAGGATGGTTAATAAAAAGAAAAATCATTATTTGCATACACTTGCTAGGTGGAAAAAATGGGTATGTGATTTTTAACTACATGTTATTTAGTCTTATAAGATCTGTCCATGTTGTTATAGCATTTGTAAGTAAATATTGTAGCTGAAGACCCGCAAACTTCACCAGTAGCTACTCCATTAACCATGTTCATTACCAATGGTTCTGGTTGTAAGGAAAAAAAAGTGGGAGCCTCTTGTTAATTTGTACAACTACCTTGATGACTTTATTTTTTTTTGTTTTAATTGGAATCACCTCAAAGAAGGCATTAATGCAACTAAAACACAAGTGGTTACAGGGTGTGGAAGAATTAGGAACAGAAAGAGAAGATAGTAACCAGGTGGACAGTAGATAGTGATTGATATTGCTTTTAAATTTTTGCAGATTAAAGTTGGCTGGAAAGTATAGAGTGAGAAGGGAGTTCAACAAGTAAGAAGTATGAGAGAAGAAACTGTCAGCATAGAATTTACTGCTACAGCTTGCCAGCTCAACTGTAAACTGATAAGATCTCTATGCCAGTCTAGTGTGTCAAGAATGCAAAGAGCTCATTTGAGCAATTAGCAAAATTACTTTGATGCTGGACATCAGCAAAAGTTGAATGATCAACATAAAAGCAATCTATAGAAGAGACTGGGGAGACATTGAATTAATGATGTATGGGATGTGATTAAAACTTCAGGTAAATGGGCTTAAAAAATTGTTGATGGTATTGACATAAAAAGTCAGAAATACAATGTACAGGAAGCATAAAATCAGAGTGGAAAGTGTTAAGTTGACATAAACCTTTATGTAGAGAATCTGACAGCATGAATCGTCAGGTAACACGCAAAAGTTAATTCAGGCAGAAAAAAAATATATATATATATATATATATATATAACCTGGAAACTTTAAAGAAATGAGTTATGTAGCTGGCATTTGGACAAAATTCAGTGAAAAAAAATCATGGAATGTATCCTCAAGATGATAGGAATTAATGACCCCTTTTCACACTATGTAAGGGATATATTGTTTAATAGGTGAGAGAAGGATCACTTAAAGAACTTTAGGTTGAATGTAAAATTTAAAAATAACTGCAGTTTCTAATTAACCTCAAGAATTCTGTAAAGATCAGAATAACAGAACAAGCTCAGATATCACTTTTTACCTGATCAACATACAGTCTAGCATTTCTTTTAAAGGATCCTGTTGCTTTTCAATTGGTCAAGCGTGGTTCTCTGGAGAGAGCTCATCAAAAGACTTACTTTTAATTCCAGCAACATCTGTAGATGTATACCAGTCAATAAAAGTTCATTTAATTTGAACCATTCAAAATTGTAAAGTACCTACTAATCAAACACCACTCTACTGCATAGGATTTTTGAACACTTGCTTTAGCTTAATGCCAATGTCTATTAAACCCAACTTCTGTTCAACCATGGAGCATAGTCCAATGAAATTAGTTTGCAACAAATCTGAATGTCCTTAATGCCATCTTAAAAAGAAAAGCAACAAATTTCAGCCAAGAGTTCTTTCTCAAAAGCTAATGCATAAGTTTGATCAATTAGTAAAGTAAATTTCATCTTCATTGGGTGATTCGCTTTAGTAAAGAACCATTGGCTTGCATTGGGGGGACCTGCAAAGTTGGTGAAAGCTACTATATGAAAAATTGATTTTTCAACATATGTAAACCTTTCACCCATGATGAACATACAATAGTCTAACCATATTTGAACAATATATTGATTTAATTGACACAAGTAAATTTATTTATCTAAATTTGATTTAGTTGCCTGTGAAAATAGTAGGTAGTAGGATATATTGAGTAGGTGAGAGAAAATCAAATTGTTTCCATGTACAAAACTTTCACCCTTGAATCAGTATTTTTAAAAAGAAAAAACAAAACAAAAATATCATTCATACATTTTTTTTGGGTTTTAATTCTGATTGATCTTTCATACCAACTAATATGTACAAATAGAGCACATCAAAACTGACAAGTTTAAAAAAACTTTCCTTTTTTTTTTTTTTTTCTTTCTTCCAAATAAAGAAAATATTCTGAATTTAGAAGACAATTTATCACTGCATATCTCCTTCAGCTCAAAGGGAAAAGTAACTGATTTGCCAGATGACAATTTTTTTTTTTTTTTTGTCTTTCTGAAATGTCTTCTCACCAGCACCATTTTAGGTGAGTTGGAGATCACAAACTGCTGAGTCAGGTCAGAAAAAGAGACACTGCAGAGGGAAGTGGTAGCAAGTCTTTAAGACTTTTGGTGAATGCTGCCAAGGAATTATTTATAGTTAAAAATCAGGAACATAAATATATATATATATATATATATATATATATATATATATATATGTATGTAACTTTTTTTGCATAAATTGTTTTCACCAATCTTAAATTTCCATAGAAAATTATTTACAACCTAATTTCTTTTAACTTTATTCTTCTCCACCTCTTCTGAGTGAATGTATAAAAAAAATTATAATAATGTTCATCTGGGTGAGGGGTGGGGGATACTTGTTTCCAATGTAGTGAGTCAGCAGCCAATGTCAATTGAAGTGAAATTTGAATTGGAAACCACCACCACTTTCAAATGGATTAAAGCCTTGGTGCCAAAATGGTCCTCCTCCATGTTCATTTTGACTCTCAGGATCCAGTGGATCTTCACCATGATCAAACTTTTTGACGTTTTTCTAAAGAGAGAGAGAGAGAAAAAAAAAAAGACTTAAAATTTAATAATTAGTCCTGAAATTTATAAAGTCAATAGATTTTAGCATAATTGTCAGGTGGAGGGATAAGAGTTGAAAAGTCTCTTCCCCAAAATCTGATCTAAATATCAGATTTTTTTTTTTGAGGCGGGGAGGAGGGGTAGTGAGAGAAGGGACATTTTGGTTAAACAACTTTTTAGTATCTCAAAAGAAAAACCAAATTCGCTATCCATTATTATTAGATTTCCTTTGATGAGACGAAACCAGAAGAATTTTAACATTTTTTTCTTTCATGATAATCTATGTATGAAAAACTTTTAGTACTAAAATTTTTCAAATGAAAAAAGTACAAGGCATTTATTTGAAATTTCAGAAAGTTCTTACTTACCAGGATCTGTTAATACTTCTTTGGCTGCAGCAATATCAATGAAATGCTTCTGAGCTTTCTTTTTATCTTCTTCCTTTTCATATTTATCTGGGTGCCACTTCACAGCCAATTTTCTATAGGCTTTCATTATTGTTCTCTTATCTGCATTTCTAATGAAAAGAAATTCAATTGAGTTTAAGAGAAAAAAATCAACAAGAGCAAAACAAAGAAGCTATTATAGTCTGAACATTATATACAGAACTACATTATTTTAATGCCAGATTGCAGAACCTAAGGTCACAAAGAATATTCTTCCCATTACTCAGGGTTTAGGTCAAAATAAAAACATTAAATATTATACAAATGTTATAGCTATGTTAAGTCTATTACTTCAGAAAATCTTTTCCAAAGCCATCATTAAAAAGAAACCTTTAAAGAAATGTCCTATTTTAAACCATATATTGAATGTTTTTCTCTCTACAGTATATGAACTCTCATTGATCAACATGGAAAAAAACAGTCATTACTTTAGTGTATCAGAATCAAATTTAAAAGAAACTTTCCAGTATTTACATTTAAAATTAGTCAAATCAATAATAAATCTGACTTTTTCTTCTATTACTTGAAAATATCTTTGCAATTGAAAGTAAAGTGTGGGAAGTAAGATCATAACATTTACACAATTTAAAGAAAAACAACAATGTTACATAATTAGGCAATGAAATTTGAACAATGTGATCAACATAAGTGAAAAAAGTTTTCTTTTAAATTTACACTAGCATAATATGCTACTACTATAAGTCACAGAAAATATTCACAATTGTGGAATGAGTAATCCTTGTTCAACTAGCAAAATATATGAACACTTACCTTCTAACTCCCAAGATTTTATAATAGTCTCTTCGATTTGATTGTTTGAGAATCTTTTGTGCCTTTTCAAGCCCTTCCTGTACCCGTCGGGATTCCCCATCAATACCCTGTGCTTGCTGATAATCCTTCACGGCTGTAGGTATTGATAAGACAGACAATATTAACAACTAATTTCTGAAATTCCTCTTACATGTTTCATTGAATAATTCAGACATGTTCTATCTACTTATTTTTAATTGGATCTATTCATATTCACGGATAAGCTTTTTTGTGTCATTATTAAAGGAGGAGAAAAAAATCACTATTATGTTGATGTTTATCATTTTTCGTGTGAAGAACATTTGATGCAGACAAGTTTACATTTGTCATTTGTGTACATTTGTGACTAGTCTGTCTTCAACGTTTAACGTGTGTAGTAGTGAGTTAACTGAGAAGTGTTCCATTTAACAATGGCAGGATATTTATATTATGAGCAGGCAGATATGATTTTTACAGACAGCCATATAAATGGTAATGGACACGAGGCTGCATGGCTGTATCAGATTGAAGGCAGCTGAGTCATCCAATCTTTGCTGCTGTTTATCGTCGCGTTGCTGAGACAGGATCCGTGGCACCACAAACTATGGATCGAGGAAGGCCGAGATCTGCTCGTACACCTGACCATGAAGAACACATTCTACAGGCTGTCGGAGATGATCCAGGTATCAGCACACATCAAGTGGCCCTAGCATGTTATACATCTCATAGTACCACATGGAGGGTACTTCAAGAGCAGCTCCTGTATCTGTATCATTTGCAACATGTGCAGGGTCTTTTTCGCCCTCTGATCACTCACCATGGGAGAACTTTTGCCGATGGTTTATTGCACAAACTGCCGATCCGTTGTTTGTCTCTTCAGTCTTGTTTACGGATGAGGCAACATTTGGAAGAGATGGAATAACAAATTTACACAACCAACATTTGTGGGCGGATCGGAATCCCCATGGTACAATACAGGCTAGACACCAGCATCAGTTTACGATTAATGTGTGGGCTGGAATTGTAGGTGACTGTCTGGTAGGTCCATATGTTCTCCCAGCATGTCTTACAGGAGCTGTCTACAGGGACTTTATTTTGAACACACTTCCAGACCTGCTAGAGGATGTACCCCTGCTAATACGAAGATGCATGTGGTTCATGCATGATGGGGCTCCAGCACATTTTAGTCACATTGTTTCGCGATGCACTGGCTGACATCTACCATGAAAGATGGATAGGTAGGGGAGGACAGTTTCCATGGTTTGCATGTTCCCTCAACCTCAATCCTTTGGTTTATTTTTTTCTGTGGGGCCTGTGAAACCCTAAAACAATTGGTTTATGCATGCAGACATTAACAATGCAGACATTTTGAACATTTTCATCAACGTTGTCAATGGGGGCTTTTTGAAAGCCATTCGACTTGTTTTGGGGAATATTTTGCAAAAATTTTTTGGGTACATTTCCGCCAGAACTTTCAATGATCGAAATGAAGAATTTGTGAACTTATGTCTATATGGAATGAGGAATCCACCCCAAAGTTTGTAAAAGCATTTTGATACACCCAGTATATTAAATTATATAAAATTCAACAGTATCCATTTTGAGTTACATTTTAAACATTTAGCATTCTCTGAGAAAAACTAACTTCAGAATTAACTCAGGATAATATAGTCTGTATACAACAAAAATTAACAATTATTTACACACACACACACACACACAAAAGTAGCTGTTATTGGGGGAGGAGGGGAAAAGAAACTCCGACGCACAAAACAAATAATGTAGTCCCTTCCGAGTACTCAATGTCAACGTTTCTGTAACAAGATGACAAGTGACTGGCAATGAAAGGATAAATAAAACAATGGCAGGTTAAATAATAAAAAATGAATGATTTGAAAATATTGATTAAAACTTAAATGAAGATTGGAGAGAGTGTCAGAATGTTTTAAAACCAAAACCATGAGTTTACATTGTTAGAAGTCCACTTTTGAGTGATCGTAAGGGTCAAGCATTTATAAGGATGGAATGTATGAAGCCAGAAGGTGGCTGAAAAATTGAAAAATATCTTCCACCATTTAGCAGGTAAATTTCTAATTCCATCTCCCATATTTGTGTATTCTTATTTCATAGTGAAATCAAGTCAAATTTTTTTTAACATGGTTGTGTCAAAACTAGTATTTAGTTTTTGTATTTATAAACTGTACTTATATTAAAAGTTAAAAGGGTTTTCTTTTTTCAGATTTTGGTAAATAGGTGTATTTCTTTTCAGAATTTAAAAATTTACCCAGATTGACTTTGGTAAAGAGTTCTTTCAGGTTATTTGTTTGGTAATATTTGATTTGGGTTTGTTTCAGGTTCTTACATGTTGTCAGTATATGGTTTACTGTGTACTCTTCCTGGTATGTCATACACATGTGGGCTTCCTCCTCCTTTAGTAGGTATGAGTGCGTGATAGATGTTAGTCCTATATGGAGCTTGGTCAGTATCACTTCCTCTTTTCTGGACAGTGTGTAGCTCTGCCACATTCCTATTTGTTTGGGCAAGAGTTCCAAAGCTCTTGCCACCTTTTTTCTATATATTTATTGATGGTCTGTGTATGGTATTTTGTTGTCTTAGTTCCAGTGATTTCTTTGCTGCCATATTTCTGGATGCCAATATGACTTGTTACCTAGCAGAATATGATTTTTTTTTTTTTAAATGTCTTTAATTTGGTTCAATAGTTTGATTGTTAGCGGGTTTGTCATTTTCTTATTTTTTTAATGAAACAGGTGTCCGAGAAGATGATAAATTTCTTGGAGTTCTGTGTTGTTATAATATCGGGGGCCAAGTCAATAACTGAGATTTCAATAATATATATGGAGGCTTCATCTGGGAGTTGCTTTGTTGAGAATCGCAGCACATCCCACTTTTTTTTTCTCCATCTTTTGATCCATCAGTGTATATTGAAAGATGGTTAGGGTAATATTTTGGATGGAGAGTAATTTGTCTTGGAAGGATGGGTTTTAGCTTTAGGATATTTAGTGAATTCCAGTAATTTTTGTGGTTGTGTGATTAGCTAAGGGGGGGGGGGTAGATTTCACAGTTTCCTGAACATGTGTTATGTGCATCCAAGTTTTTGATAAGAGTTCTTTCATATGTAAGCTGTATGGTTTAATTAATGGTATTTTCTTTTTTGTTGTGTATTGTGGATGAATTTTGGGTTAGTTTTTGGTTTGTTTTTTTGTTATGATTTATGCAGATGTTTATTCATTTCTCTTCTCCCTTTGATGCTATATATTGAGTTTGATAGACATGTTAACTAATTTTATATAATATTCTGCTGCCAGTTTCTCCCTCCATATTGTTAAGGGGGCTTCGTTTGCCTCTGTTGGATTATTTTAAAATTTTCTTAAAAGGTTGCATGGTAAGTTCTTACTGCCTTTTTGTATTCCTTGCTGAACTAAGGTTTATTGAATTTTGATGAGGTGGAGCATTTTGGTATATTTTCACTTTATAATGTTTTTGTGAAGTATATAATGTGTTCTTCATTTTTTTTTTGTATTAGGCTCTGGTATTAATTTGGATTGGCATGACTTTTCAAATTCTTCCCAATTAGTTTTTTGAGGGCTTCAATATAGTGTTTTGTGATCAAGTTCTGGGTTCTGGTTTTCCAATATAATAGGGAAGTGGTCACTTCCACATGTGTTCTCATAGACCCTCCAATTATAGTCCATGTAGGTGTTAGGGTCACATATTGTTAGGTCAATTGTGGAATATGTGCCTGTTGTTGGGTGGAGATATGAATTTGTTTTGATATTGTATAGGCATAGTTGTCTTTGATTTATTATCATTTCTATTAATTTTGTTTGTTTACTATTACATATTACGTTGCGGCCCCCATCAGTTGAAGGGTTTTGGTAGTTGTTGAATTAAGCTGTCCAAATCAAATTTGTTAAGGGTTTCATTAGGTGGTATATACAATGAGCAAACAATAATTGTTTTGTGTAGTGTTGCTGATATTGCAACCGCCTGCAGGTTTGTTTTAAGTTTGATTTCACTATGTGGTATATTATAATTAATGATAACTGATGTACCTCCCGAGCCTCTATCTGTATGTTCATTTATGTAATTGTATGACTTGTATTTTTTTTATGTTTAAAGTCTCATTTCCTTTAAAGTGTGTTTTCCATGTAAGCATATGATTGCTGGACAGTAGGTTGTGATGAGTAGTATTAGTTTGCAAAGATTGACCTTCCCATTGGAGTATGTTGTTAGCCATGTTACTATTTTTTATGGAATCTTTGTTTGGGTGGATTAGATGTTTGTGAGTTTTGTTCTTCGACATTCATTGTCACCAAACATTCAAATTTATTTTGTGTAATTTCTATCATGATTTTTGCCTGTAGTTTTTTTGTTGGTTGGGTGGAATGTGTGTGTGTGTGTGTGTGTGTGTGTGCTTTTCCTTTTTTTTTGTCAGTAGGCTTATTGTCCTTTTCACGCTGCTTCTTTTTGGGTTAGTTTTTGGTTTGTTTTTTTGTTATGATTTATGCAGATGTTTATTCATTTCTCTTCTCCCTTTGATGCTTTATTTTAAAGTTATTAGTTTTTTTCATTTTGTTTATATTGTTCTGTCCTCTCCTGGTTTTTTTTCAGATATGAATCTATAATATGAGTAACATTGTATTTTGAAAGTATCTGTTTTATTTCATTTATAAATTTAGGCCAGTCATTTGATACCAATTGTAGTAATTTTGTTACGAGTATCTCCTATTTTGTATCTTAGCTTTTGGCATTCAATGTTCTGTTATTTTTGGTGATCTGTGTCAGTAGGTTTTATCTTTCATGTACTCTTCCACGATTTTTCATGCTTCTGGAAATCAGATGTCCTTTGTATATTTTACAATCATTTTCCTTTTTAGAGATTTTACATAATCAAGCATAGGCTGGGTGGTCTTCATCACAATTTTCACAACTGCAGTTAAGTTTACAGTCATTGGTGGTGTGATCCAGTCTCTTTTTCCACATCTGCCACATTTTTGGCATTTAAAGCAGTGCAGTGGATTTGGGATGAATTGATCCACACTTTTGTTGTTGCAGCCTATTTTTATTTCTTTAGGGATTGTAGGTGTGTTGAAGGTCATTATGTATGTGTTTGTTTGTATAATTTGGTTTTCTTTTCTTATGGATACTCTCTTTGCATCCACCACACCCTGGTTCTTCAATTCTTTTGTAATTTCTTCAATTTTGCAAAGAGAGTGTTCTCTTCTTCATTGTGCCTTCTAGGAGTAAAATTTTCCCCTGACATGAAGTGGAAAGATTATATTGAATCAAGACTGCTGCTTGGAAAATATCGTGCTAGAAAGATTTTATCGCCAAAATCTATCTTACATTGTTATAAGAACATGATTCGTCCTTGCTTTGAATATTGCCGTCACATATGGTCTGGTGCTTCTGCTATATATTTAGAGGTTCTTGATAGAATCCAATGAAGAATCTGCAATGTTACTGGGCCTGACCTGGCATCTCGGCTTCAGAATAAAATATATATATATATACTTTCATGGTAATTGTTCGGATGAACTTTCCTCGATGCTACCTAGATTTTATGAATTTAAACACAGTACTAGATTTGCAGCAAGGTCTTGTCAATTTACTGGTTGAAATGGTTAGATGTAACAGTTTCTTCTATAGCATTTCTTACTCATAGAACTCCTCTTCCGGCTTCTTGCTTTCCAGTTAAATTTGCCATTGCATATGATTTAAGATCAATCATTATTTTCCGTCGCGTCATCTTCTGTCTCTCACCCTTAGTAACCTTTTGCGTCTGAGTGGCTTTATTGTATTTTTGAGGTGGAGTGATTAAAAAAAAATTTAGATAACGGAAAATAAATGACAAAGTAGCTATTCTTGCGTAGTCAATACACAATGGATAATAATATATTATGGAAGCACTGTTACGCAGTAATTAGGTAATCACCTGTTAGATATTTATGATTTTTAATATCAGTGCTGACAGACATCTTCCACTGGCTGAAGTCATTTTAGATAAGATTCCAGTAGTGAAAGATAATTCTAATCTTATATCTGTTTGGACATCCATTTTAAAGAATGGGGAAAATTCAGGTTTCATAATATGTCCACTGTAGAATCTGTCTCTCATGTTGATTAGTGTGTAAGTCAGCTTCTTGTATGTGCCATGTTCCTTGAGGACGTTGATGATCATGACTCTCCACAACTTCCTCTTCTTTGTAGCTCACAAAAGATTGTGTCTTTCGCTATTTCTTCCAAACCCAGCTCTGCCATTCATTCACGCAAACTTGCTAGGCTCGTTATGCTTTGTTGTCATCTGTCTCTCTTGCTTTCAATATATCCTGTGAGTGTCAAATTTTCCAAGCCCTCTTTCTTTATTATGTGCCCTAGAAATATGGGGGAGTTGATGAGGGAGGAAAATCCCATTCGCCCCATCCCTCCATGGCTGATATACTTAAACATGGGGAGGAATTCAAGCACATATATTTGGGAATGTCCACCCAAGTATGGGGTTTCCTCAGTGCTTACAAGCAGCTATGTTGGACTCCTTTATCCTTAGTTTGATTGACCATAGTCACAGTTTACTGTAATTTTTGGAATTAGGTGTGATAGGTGGGGGTGTACTTTTTTGTTTTGTTGGTCTGACTTACAGCTTGACATGAACAGCCAGTTGAATGGATTGGGCTCCTCTGATTGCCTGTGTAGCCCAAGTAAGGGCCAAAGTAGTGTGTTAGAATTCTGGAGTATTTTACCTAACTCCTGAAGTCCTCAGCTACCAGAATCCTGTCCTCAGGCATTGCCACCCATGGCAAACAGGTGGCCTCAATTTGGGGAGTGGGGTGTCTTACCTCCTCCGCAGAGGTGCAGTCAGCATATTCTACAGCCTCAGCTGACAGGGCAGTTTTGGAATTGAAACATTCAAGGCAACATTATGATTTAATGATTGCAAGAACTCTCTTTAAATCATTATCATCATCATATGTAAATATAGCCAAAGAACACATACACACACCTAGGTGTAAATACTCTCACATGAAAAGACTGCCTGAAGTCACCTACATTTTTATGTTTGATATATTTTTTTCTTAACTCTTCTATACTGAAGATTTGAAAAATTCATAACTTACTCATTTTCAGTCTTTTTTTTTTTGCAGTTTATAGAGCATTCCTTGGATATTAAAATGTTCAGTAAATGGCCAGCAAGGAGTAAAATTCATTGAATTTTTCTATTCCAATGAAAGATCAATTATTCAAACTCAGAGAAAATACTGGTGACATTTTAATGTGGGAGTATCTCCTAGCGATAATATGATTCGGAACCTAAGAACTGGATCAGTCGGTGATCTCCCAAGAAGAGATCTTAAGCACACCGACACAACAATGGAAAGCTGTATACAGCAGAGTGTCCTTGTGGATCCATCAGCATCTACCTGTCATTGCTCTGCTCAACTAGGCATCACCAGAACACCGCTTCAGGAGATTCTGAAACTGGATTTAAAAATGTTTCCATATAAGATCCAAATGGTCCAAGATACTACCCCAAGATACTCAGCAGTGCCTGTAGTATGCTATTTGATTTCAACACTTAGCCAGAGATAACAACTTTCTGAACTTGAAAATGAGTGATGACACCCATTTTCATTTAAATGGGAACATCTACAAATAAAACTGCAAATTTTGGGATACTGAGAATCCCAGGGAATTACATTGGCATCAATTGCATCCAAAAAAATGCACTCTTTGGTGCAGTGTTATGGCTGAAAGAGTGTTGTAATGGAATGTCCCACACTCCCTATCACCTATATTTGGACTGACTATATCAGTAGATATATATAGTGACCACAGGATATATCTGGGACTTGCTTCAGGAATTACTAGCCTGCTAACTGATTCCCTGTCTTTCAGTAGTGTATTCTCTTTTATAAGAGAATACACTACTTATAATTTATAAGAGAATACACTAATAATAAGAAAGAAATGTTTATTACCTTTCTTTCATCTACGCTCATGTTGCTGTTCCTTTCATTCAAGTACCACCTTTGTCTGTTTGTATCTTTAAGGATACAACAAAGAGTTATTGCCTCCTATTTCTTTGCCAGAAAGAATCGACAGGGCCCTGTATAGGACAATGCTTGAAAAATTTTTTTTTTTACAGCAGTTGAAGATAATCAGGAGGTATGGTTTCAGCAGGATGGAGCTACTGTGCACACTGTCAGGGAAATGATGGACCACCTGCGAGAAATTTTTAGTGAAGGAATAATTTAAAAAAAAAAAAAAAAAAAATGTTGAATTTGTTTGGCCTCCATGTTCACCTGATTTGACAGCACCAGACTTTTTGTAGGGCTACTTGAAAGAACAGGTTTACGTAAACAAACCTCGAAGAATTCAAGAACTTCAGAACATTGAAGCTGAAATCTGATGTTTAGGACCTGAAACCTTGTGTACGGTCATGGAAAATGCTGTGGAAAGAGCCTGCATTTGTGAGCAGGAAAACGGTGGTCATTTGAGGGATGTTGTTTTTCACACATAATGCTGAAAAAAATCCAATAATTATATTTCCAAATAAAAGAAAAAATTAAAAAAAAAAGAAAAAAAAAAAAAAGAAAGTGTTTGTAAAAGTTATTTTTGTTTTATATCATTCAGTGCCCACCCTGTATCTATTCACTAAGGAGTCAAATTCCTTTAATCAAATTCTCTGGTGTTGTTCAATATTTCTGACAATTGAATGCATACCATTTGATTTCCAGTAAAACAGAAAGACCACGGTCTAACAAAAAGCCTTTGAGTCTTGCTAGGTACACAGCGAATCCCCTAGACGCTTATGCTCTTTGTTTTTCTTTATATGAAGGAGAAACCTAGAATATCAGAAGCAGAGAAATAACTCCCATACCAGTATTCAAAATCACCCTACTGCCATGCATCTGTTTATGCAAGGTGACATTAGGATTGAGATCCTAAGGAACCACACCCATTTATATTTGGTGTCATGATTTTGGGAGCTCACCCATTTTACAATCATCCAAAAACTTGTTTATATTTCCTCCCATTAGGTGCCATTATAAAAATATTGTTTTAAGATCATAGATTGAAGACTTACCTTCATTAAACTGGGAAGCTTTAATATAGGCTTCACCTCTATCACAAAGAGCATCAACATTGTTTGGATCAATCTTTAACACATCACTGCATTTTTTGATGGCTTCTTTATCAAAACCAGCCTAAAAAAAAAAAAAAAATATATATATATATTGTCTAAAGGAAATTAAAATTTTTAAATGTAAATGGAATATATAAGGAAAATTGGCTATGGTGCAAAATAATTCTTCCTTTAATCCTTTGTTAATACTGCTGGGTCTTTGAACACTTCCACAAAATGTTTTTAATATTTAGCAAGTTGCAAGGCAAATTTTCATTATTAGTCAAGTTGCTTATTCAAATAACTACATGGAGTTTCTAGTTTTAGTCATAATATCTGTATAAATTGCAAGCAAATTGTCTACTGAAAATTAAATGAAACCTATTTTTACATTTTAACAAGTACTTTGATTCCTGACAATGTATGTCTTGTTTTACTGTTGAGAAGGATTTACTTATTTTCTTTTGATAACAGCAAAAGAAATAAATTAGCAATACAAGAAATTCTGTGTTTTGATTTATATTCAAGTAAATGAAAACACACTCACTTTGGAATTACAATGACAAAGATGGGATTTGGCCCTCAGAACAAATACTTGAGCTGTTGGTTCCATCTTCAGAATTTGGTTGGCTTTGTTGATGCATTCTTCATAGGCATTTTTGTTGATGTTTTCTTGCACAGAATTCAATAACTTGACCAACTTTTTTACTATTTTATAGTGTGTGAAACAATCTTTGTGGTCTGGATCTAGTTTTAAGCATTCTCGTATTTGACTGAAAAAAAAAAATTAAGTAATTAATTTTTTAATCTGACATTATTTCTTGTTAATAAATTCTTAATAAAGAAAATGTCAGTAAAAACTTATTTTATATTAAGAATTGATCTCTAGACCGATACACATTTTTTAATAAATAAGAATGTTTACTCAAACATGTTTACTCACTAAATATAGCGTTTACAGCAATAAAGTACTGTGTGTGTATGTGTGTTTGTGCGTGTGTGTCCAAGCAACTCCTCCACTCCTACTGGTCTGATTTCAATGATTCATTGTTCATTCAAAAGCCTTAGAAAAGCTAGGTGCAGGGAATGATTTTTTTGAGCTCAGATTCAGGGTTGCTAGATTATGTGAGGTTAAAAATATATATTAATATATTATACCAGCCATTATTGTTGCTTTCATGGTTCAAGGGGAGTAAATCTAATTTTCCTTTTGTATCCAAAATTTTAAGGTCAGTTTAATGTGGAGAGCCTAAGCATGTACACCTGTGTTAGAAACAAAAATTCCCTGAGCCCCACAATTGTCGGTTGTGTCGGCCTTGGTGCAAGCACTGATCCCGGTCTTTGGTGCAATGAGAGGTCATGGCTTTGGGTAGCTGTTCCCCAGGGCTGGGCACCTCTCAGTATAATTTTCCTCAGTAGCAACTGAGAGATGATAAATAGAGGTGTTACAAATAATTATATAATAATTAACATAAGACCAGGCTATTTAAGTTTAAGCCAGTTTTTCCTAAATTAATATGGAAACAATATGAAATATGTACACCTTGAATAAAAAAGGAGGCCAAATTGATATTAATTAAAATTTAATTTCTATAATGATACAATTGCAAAAAACCTTCCAAAAAACAAAAAAAAAAGAAAAGAAACATGTTCACCAGATTAATGTGAATTGTTTTGTATTACCATTGTAGATTTTATTCTGTTAAATAAAATTCTTTTTGATGACATCAGTTCATTGATGTGATGTGCTAAATTGAAGTTTTCCAAATTGTCTTATATGTTTACTACTCCACTGCATTCCCATCCGATTTCATTCTCTCTCTCTCTCACACACAGGTAAATATCTGAAATTTGATTCCCATCATCCATAGAGTGTGAACAAAAAAATTGTCTGTTGTTATACAACATGAAGAAAGTATTCAAAAGCAATGCTAACTTTTGGAGTACCTGATCAGAGTTCAACATCCATCAATCAAGAACTAGGTGCATAGTATTTCAAGCAGTTGTGACATAGAATATGAAGATAAGGCTGGGAGGACATTAGAAAGTTACAGTCTATGAAAAGACAACTAGGAAGTCTGAATAATAGAGCAACATTGGACAATAAGGTGATTGGAAATTACACCACCTGATTATTCTGTAAGATAACAGGTTAGTGAATATAAGTATGCAGTTTAACATGGTGGTTAAGTGTTCAGTCTCTGGATTGGGCAATAAAATCCATATACTTTGCTTAAGAAAAAGAAAACAATGAAAAAGCAAGCTGAAAATAAAAATGAACTGTTTGGTATGACATTATTTTCAAAGCAAAACTGCATTTATAAACAAATGTGAAGAAATAAAGGAAATTGACTTACTTTAATGATTCATCTGCTTCACCCAGTTGATAATAGAGGAAACTTAGCTTTAAATAGGCAGCCGTATTGTCATTGCGTAATTTTGTAGTGGGACGGATATCAAGTACTGCCTTAAAAAGATCCCCTTGGGCAATGTAGCACTCAGCTCGCATTTCCTTTAGTTCAGGACTCCATGGGCAAGACTGCAAGTGTCAAGAGGAAAACCAAGAATTTCTAATGAAGAACAAATTTGTTTTTTTTAAAATTGTGAATATAGAAGCTGATGAATTAGGCACATCAATTAAATGCTTATGTAGTGGGGTGAAGAAAGAAAACATGTCAGTACCAGAATTCATTAATAAAAAACTGACCATCTTTTTTATTTAGGAAAATTAGGAAATCTACTGCCGTTTAGTTGAAAAACTAATTTTGCTTTATGGGAAGAAATATTTACATGGTTACATACTTAATATATTAATGGAATATCTTAATGTTGTTTTACCAGATATAGACATAATCTTGTTATCAAAAACAGTCAAGACATAAGTTGGTCATTTCCCAGCACAAACTTTTCAAAAATGAAATGATCAAATAGGAAACTGAATAAAAATTTCCAACTCACTTACCTCTATGGCTTTTGTCAATAATTCTATAGCAGCTTGATGATCTCCATTTTGAAACATGTCTTTTGCCTCTGCTATATTACCTTTTAAAGGCTTTATCCGTTGTAAACTATCTTTAGCTTGTTGATTTTTTGCATCATATTCAAGCTGAAATTTAGAAAGCAGACATTTTTTTTTTTTTTTACAAATAGAGTGTTTGCTTCAGGTGCATACAAGATACTGGCACACAAACATATTACCTAACAAATGTCTGAAAAAAAAAAAAAAAAAAAAAAAAATCATCATCATAAGTATAAGTTTATCAAACAGCTAATATATTTTGTGTAATGCAAATTTTATAAGAATCTAATAATTCTAACACAAGAATGGTGGTAGCTGTGAAAAATATCTTATTTAATCCCTCATTAGAGGGGAATTTTGTGATTACAATACTTCATAATGTTTTGAAACAGGTTTCTTCTATTAATTCATAAGAGTACAGAGATAAAATAAAACAACAAATGAAGAAGGATACAATATGATAATGAATAGGATAACAAATCACACACTTTATGAAAATTGATAAGTAATTAGAGA